ATAATGCAGAAAATTCGATGTAGAACTAAAAATTAATGACTGCATGCTGTATTGTGTTGCATTTCCATCTTTCTTAGAGGTAGCTGTACATTGTTTTCACATTTGAGGTTAAGTATATAAGCTAGGTAGGGCAGATATTTTTATCCTTGAATTACACATGGGGAAAGTGAAATCCAAAAAGTGAAAGTAATTTGCCTGGAGTCTCACGTGCCATTAAAGAGACAGAAGCAGGTCTTAACCCCAGCTGTCTGACAGGATCCAGACGAGCATCGTGCAGCTGTTGGCTTTAATGGTAGGAGTTCTCCTCCGACTCACCCCAAATAAAGGGAACCAAGTAGATATTGTGAAGGGTGAGAGGTGGCCAGCCCTTTTCTTATCTGCCTCTTAACACCCACTGAAGCATTTGCCTTGGACAATAATGAAGGTCCAAGTCGTGTGTAAGGCTCAGTCTGGCATTCTGTGAGTTGGTATCTGCCAGGGCTACAACTTGACCTTCCTGTGTCTTGCCTGGCTATAAATTGGCCTCTGTGCTGGGGCCCTGGGTCTGCGTTCTGTTCACTGTCAGCATCACCCCCATGGCTCCCTTACAGAAGGTCCACCCGAGGCTTTGCTCGTGCACTCCTTGCTGGCTCAGGGCTGCGGCCTCAGACAGGGCAGGGTGGGCGGGTTCTGGCGTTGGCTGTGAGCACGGCTTGCAAGTTGGTCCTAGCACGAACTGAAGGCAATGAGAAAAGGTAAATCTTGACTTTCCCTCTGGAAGGTGTTTTCCTCTGGGACCCAGGAGGTGGGGTGGCTGCAGGGTCTTTTCGGGGAGCGTTGCTCCACTTCCCTGGGCGTTTCCGAGATCACAGGGTCAGAAGAGCTCCCCTCTTGTTTTTGCATTTAGCACATTCATAGAGATGGGGGATTGGAAGGGAGGTGGAAATTGAAATTTAAAGGTTATTTTTTGGGAGAAGGGGGAAGAGAGGCTTTTATTTATTATTGTTTTAGCTTCATGGATTGTGCTAAATTCTGAAAAATTTCAGTATGTTAATGCAGTCATTCAGTGAATAGTTTTAGAAGGCATAAACTTAGCATACAGTGTTGGTGTGTCTTCTCACTTTTTCCCAGTCAGCTGGGGCCCTCAGTGTGCCTTAGTGTGTCTGGTGAGTGCTATTACTGTACACCTGTGTACCTAAGAGGTCTCACAGCATGTTCACCCGTGCATCTGTGTTATTGCATGCCAGTATGCTTCATGTTTACTATCCCATGTTAGTGTGCACTGTGCATAGTTATGTGTGTGTATAAATGCACATTCATGCGAGTGTATCTGCTACTCATATATTCTAGTCATTATTTTTTAAGACTTCATGGGGAATCTTATTTTGTATCTTTTCAACCCCCCTTTCTATCAACAAAATAGTTTTTTAATCATAATGCCATGAAATTCCCTTAGTCAAGGAGACGGTGGCCAGAGGTTGCCGGGACTTTGACCTACTTACTCGCTGCCAGAGAAAAATCCCTGCCGAGGGCACAGCAGATAAATATCTGTTAAATTCATCCAACGCCTCAGGGACAGGGGTCGCATCACTTCCCTCAGAGGCTTTCCTTCCTGTCAACTAAGCTGTGGATGTTGGATCAGCTCTTGCTGCTGCAGGGTTTGCACTTCTGAAAGGTGGGCATCTTGGGGCTCAGTTCGGGGTCTCCCCTGGTCAGTGAGCCTGTGTCTGACCCCTCACGGGGGCGGGAGGATTGCCAGTCACGAGGTGCTGGCGAGCCACTCTGCAGGCTCCGTGTCCCCAGTGTTGATGAGATGCTGGGCTGGAAAATCTATTAAACTTTCCCCTCTCTCCTTCCATTTAAAACGTATCTTATAAGAGGAGCTTGGATCCAGTGCTCCTCGCTTCTCATTAGCATGAAAAAGTCACTTTTGAACCCTCCAGAGATGCACTCGCCACCAGGCACCAGGAGCAAGGAAGAGATGCCCAGCCTCTCTCATCACGAGGGAAAAAATGGCAGTGGAAGCTAGAATGAGGCACCCCTGTGTCTGTGAGGACGGCAAGGATGAGGGGCTGTGGGGACTGTCGGTTGGGGGGGCAGGGGTGTGTCTCCAGGGGAGCGTCTTGTAGGGGTTCCTCAAATAATTAAAAATATAGGGCCCGGCAAGGTGGCACAGTGGTTAAGGTCCTCGCCTTGCACGCCCGGGGTTCCCATATGGGCGCCGGTTCTATCCCAGCAGCCCCGCTTCCCTTCCAGCTCCCTGCCTGTGGCCCGGGAAAGCAGTGGAGGACGGCCCAAAACTTTGGGACCCTGCACCCACGTGGGAGACCCGGAAGAGGCTCCTGGCTTCGGACAGGCTTAGCATCGGCCGTTGCGCTCACTTGGGGAGTGAATCATCGGACGGAAGATCTTCCTCTCTGTCTCTCCTCTCTGTATATCCGCCTTTCCAATGAAAAAATAATAAAAGTAAATCTTTAAAAAAAATATATAAGGCTGGTGCCTTGGTGCAGAAGATGAAGTTTCTGCCCATGATGTGGCATTTTGTACGAGTGTCCCCATTGAATCATTGCAGCTCCATTTGTGCTCCATTTCCCTGTTGATGTGCCTAGGAAAGCAGCAGCAGATGGCTCAAGTCCTTGGGCCATTGTCACCCTTGAGGGAGACCTGTAAGAGGTTCCTGGTTGCTAACTGGCCCAGCCCCAGCTGTTACAGACATTTTGGAAGATCTCTGTCTCCACTTTTCTCTCTGTAACTTTACTTTTTAAAATAAATCTCTTAAAAGAATTTAAAATGCAGTTACCTGGCAACCCAGCCACTAGTTGCATTTTTGTGTATATAGCCAAAAAAACCGAAAGCAGAGTGCGGAAGAGGTATTTGTGTACCTGTGTACATAGTAGCCATGAGCTGGGGGCTGCCCAGAGGTCTGTGGAATGGCGTGTCGCCTCTACACGTCATGGAATGTTATCCAGCGTTCCCAAGGAAGTACATGCCGGTGTGTCCTGCTGCCTTGAGGGCGTGACACTAAGCGAAAGAAGGCAGGTACAGTAAACGTTTGCAATTCCTCTTCCACAGGGTGCCTAGAACTGCCAGGTTTAGAAAGGCAGAAGCTTGGGTTCTGGTTGCCAGGACCTGGGAGGAGTGAGGCTTGGAGGAGTCAGTTGCATAGCAAGGGGCACAACGTCAATCCTGCAAGATGGGCAGGATTGACAGTGGTGAGCTGCATGAGGGTGCCACGTGCTGCACATGTGCACCTGGCCCACGTGGGGCAGACTGGAATCTCTAGATGGAACTAAAAAGTCGCTCCTGAACCCTCACCACCCTTTCCCATCTTGCAAGGGCAAGTCCAGGCTGTGAGGGGGAGGGGCTAAAGGGAGGAGTGCCTGTAATCATTGGCACACTCTCCAATGCCCTCAATAGCTGGTGCTGGGCCAGCCCACAGTTAGGGAGTAGGATCTCCATCCGGGGATCCCATGTGTGTGGCAGGGTCCTCAGCTGTTGCCTCTTGGGTGCACATCAACAGGAAGCTGGATTGGAAGCAGCAGTTCCATTTGACCCCAGGCACTGCAGTATGGGCTGTGGCTGCCCCAAGTGGTGCGTTAACCCCTCGTTGAGGACTTTGGCAATGACCCAAGATGCTAGCGATTTCTTCAGTTTGGGGGAGGGGTTGGCACAGGATGTATAACAGAGTGTTGTCCTGTTCTGTTTTCCAGTATCACTTCATGGAATCGCTTCCCATGCCTGCCGAGTGCACCGAGGGGTTCCCATGGTCATGTAAGGTGCACTGACCTCTGGGTCCCCCAGAGAGGAAGCTGGCCTGCAGGTGAGTCCAGCCCCTGTGCCCCCAGGTTGAATGATTGGTTCTTGTTTTGGCTCTGAAACTCTTGATGCTTGTGCCACCAAAGAAAACTTGATCCATTTCCTCCAGTTTTGTAGGTGCACATGTTTAAATGTCGAAGAGTTAGAAAGTTGCTCTATTTATTCCGAAGCCTAATTGGAAACATTACCTCCTGTTTTCCTAAAGTGATAAGCACTCAGAGGGGAAGGTTTGGGTCTCACCAGTAAGATAAGGAGGGGGCAACCTGGGGTCTGAACGCAAATCCCAAGAACAGATTGTTTTTTCCCGGTGCCCAAGTTATAATGAGCCAGCTTCCAACTTCCGTCTCCCAGAGAGAGGCACACTCATGATTAGCTGTCAGACCGTTTCCTGTTCCAAGGAATGCTTGTGTTTTTTCCCTCCCCCAGTTTGAGGGCATCCCGTCCTTTTCTTGGGGATCCCCCCTCAGTGTGAGGGGTCAGAGCTTTCCCAGGGCATAGTCCCTGGTAGTGTGGGGAGCAGTAATCCCGCAGGCAGTTGGCCACCCACCCCTGTACTCAGCCAAGGATTGACCATGTTTAAAAATCATGTCCAGGCTGGACATACAGGCTTTCCTTTTCTTGTCCTTTCTGCACCCCCCCCCCCAAACAATGAACTAACTACTGGTTATTGATCATTTATCATACCTGAGGCACTGTCAATCTTCCCGGGACAATTAAATTATACGGGATGATGTGAGTCAGTAATAAGCAATTATTAGGTGTCTTTATATCATGGATTTGAATATACAGATTTTGGTATCTTCATGAGAGCTCTCCTCCCCTTCTCCCCCAGCCTCACCCCTCCCCCCCCAAAACAAATGTGGAGAGGCAGCTGTGATGTCCCTGGTTGGGGGGAAATTCACTAGTGGCAAATGCAAATTTCTCTTCATTGAAAACCCATGTGTCTGGTTGGAAATAGGAAAGAAACTTTTTCCTGCATGGTATGCCTCCAGCAGCCCCAGATGCTGAAGGAAGCTGCTGCCTTCAGCGTGTGTTGATCCTGTTCAGTGTCTGAGCTACCACCCTGCCCTCAGAGTGGCACCTGACCCGAGGGGTGGATTTGATCCAGTGCTGCACGGCAAGGACTCGGAGCTTGCTCATGGTATTTCAGATTGGAAAACCGTTTGGGTTTCGGTTCCTAACTGCTGTCCCTGTTCTTCATTTAGGTGAGAATGGGCAACTCGGAGAGTCAGTACACCCTCCCGGGATCTAAAAACCACAGCAGTGTGCTGAACGGGGCCAGGCAAAAGCCTTGCTCCCTCAAGATCCGCAGCGTTCATGCAAAAGATGAGAAGTCCTCGCACGGCTGGGTCCACGGTGGCGGAGGGGCCGGCTATAAGTCCCGGTCACTGGCCCGTGGCTGCTTGTCCCAGCTGAAGGGCAATCCGCCTTATGCAGCAGCCAGACCCGGCGGGCCCCCTTGCAAAGGTCCCAGAGGCCTGGTCCACTCCAAGCACAGGGCCGGTGGCCAAGGCCATGGGCTTCAAGGCCACCCTGCTGCCCTCTACACCGAGAACGGCTTCCAGTGCGGGAGCCACAAGCCACTGCCAGATAACCACACAACCTCCAGAGACTGCAACGGGCACCTCCTCAACTGCTATGGCCGGAATGAGAGCGTGGCGTCCACGCCGCCAGGCCAGGACCGCAGGAGCCCCAGGGTGCTCATCAAGACGCTGGGCAAGCTGGACGGCTGTCTCCGGGTGGAGTTCCATAGCGGCGCCGCCCAGCACGGGGCTACCTCACCTGCGGCTGAGCCCGACCCCAACGTGCCTGTGCAGCTGCTGAGGTACTCGCCCACCCTGGATGCGGACGCTGGGAGGGGCTCCAGCGGCGACTCCCTGGCCAGCCAGCGGCCTTCTCCCACCGACTCACACCTGCGCTCCAGCAAAGGCAGCTCGCTCAGTTCTGAGTCGTCCTGGTACGACTCTCCCTGGGGCCCCACTGCTGAGCTGAGCGAGGTGGAGGGCTCGCCCGAGCCCAGCCTCCCTGCCTGCTTCCCGCCCCAAGACTCCAAAAAGGCTTTCAGTCAAAGCTGCTCTCTCTCCTCGCTCCGGGACATGTGCCCCTCGGCCATCGGCCTTTCCCACGAGGACGAGGCCGTGCACACCAGCCTCAGCCACCGCGTGTCCTTTGCTTCGGACATGGACGTGCCCTCCAGGGTGGAGCGCGGAGTGCCTGGCCGGTACAGCTCCTTCACCCTGCCCTGCCGCAGGTCCAAGGCCTTCGCAGAGGATCCCACCAAGAAGGACACGCTCAAGGCCAGGATGCGTCGCATCAGTGACTGGACAGGGAGCCTGTCCAGGAAGAAGAGGAAACTGCAGGTGAGCCAGGGGCGCACAGGGGAGGACCCTTCCCAATGCGGCTCCTTGCGCTTGAGGGACAGTGGGACGCTGCGGCTTTTGCTAATAAGGATGTGTGTTTTCACTCTTGGCCAGCAACTTTTTTTTCCCCTTCAATATATATTTTAAAAAGATGTATTTATTTACTCTGTGGCTGTGTAGACTGAAGGTTTAGCTGTCCTGAGGACAGCCACGGAACAGTGCGCTTGGGGCCTGGATCTTGCACACCAGCCCAGCGGTTCTAAACTCAGGCCTCTTTACATGCATCCCCTGGCTCCCTGTCCACTGGCCACCTTGGGTGCAGCTCCTCTGCATGCAGCCCGCCCCAGGAACTGTCCCAAACCCAAATTGTGAGCTGCTTGCGTGCCTGTAGATTCCAGAACAAACGGGTTAGAGTCTAGGAAGGTTGCTTGTGGAACGAGGAAAGGCTCTTTGTCATTTTTGCAAGGAGGGATGTAAGGTGAAGAGCTGGGAAGAGCTTTCCGGTGTGCACCTGGCTGCTGCTTGCAGAAGCTGCAGGCAGAGCTCTTTCTGTGACATTTTACACATATTCTTCTTCCCGTGTAACCGCGTGGCCAAAAGGTATTGTATGAAACTGCCAGCTACTTGGGAATGATTGCATCAGAAGATAATCAGCTATTTTGGATTTTTTTAAAGATTTGTTTTATTTTTATTTGAAAGCCAGAGTTACAGAAAGAAAAAATAGAGAGATTTTTGTCTGCTAGTTCACTCCCCAAATGACCACAATTTCCTGGAGCTGAGCTGATCTGAAACCAGGAGCCAGGAGCCAGAACCTTCTCCTGGGTTTTCCCACATGGGCCATTCCCACAGTTGGGCCATTTTCTACTTTCACAGGCCCTTAGTGGGGAGCTGGGTTGGAAGTGCAGCAGCCAGGACTTGAACCAGAGCTTGTATGGGCAACTGGTGCTGGTATTGCTGCACCAGTCACACCTGCAGTTGTAGCCATTGAGGAGTCCCTCAATCCCCTGAGGTCAGAACAGCCTGTTTACACCTGTGCTGTGGGGTCCCCATCCACTGCTGAATCCGGTTTGCACCCTCTTTCCTCAGGACACAGCAGGTGTTCCCCCTCCCCCCATCATTAGGGATGCTGTGGCAGAGGGAGAAACACAATTGTGTGTTGGCTTTTAAAGCTTGCACTGCGGGGGGTTAGTGGGTGGAGGGAGTGATATTTCATGTGCTGGCTGTTGCTAAAGGCTCAGAACAATTACAGCCGTGTCTGTGCCAGGTGGAAGCTGGGTGCTGGGAAGCACATACAAGTCTCCGTGTGCACTGGCCGTGCTGACTGCTGTGGAGTTGAGCACGGGGTGCATTAGATGCTCTGATTTGGACACTCTTAATTTTGAGCTCTTGCTGCCTTTGGAGGGTCGCATTTCCTTTGTCTAGGAGTTGTTGCTATGCGTGAAGGGAGGTGGCAGCAGAAGAAGGGCAAGGCACGGTTGGGTAATTTTTTTATGAAATGTGAGACTGTTGGCCAGTTTTGCTTCAGTTGTTAATGAGTTGAGGAACATCTCATTGTTCCACCCTGGCTTCGTTATGGTGTCTGACAAATGGCAGTTTGTGTTTCAAGCATAGAGCTTGGTGCTTTCATATGTGAATGGATTGACAAATGATGGCCACTCGGGGCTGGTGATAAGTTGCCAGTTAAGTTGCCGCCTGTGATGCGGGCATCCCATAGGGGCACTGGTTTAAGTCCCAGCTGCTCCACTTCTGATCCATCTCCCTGCTAAGGTGCTTGGAGAAGCAGTGGATGGTGGCTCAAACACTTGGACCATTGTCAGCCATGTGACACAGCCAGATGAAATTCCAGGCTCCTGGCTTTGACCTGGCTTAGCTCTGGCCATTGTTGCAATTTGGAGAATGAACTGGTAGATGGAAGTACTCCCTCTCTGTCAGTCTGCCTTTCAAATAAATCAGTAACTCTTAAAAAAAAGTGAGTGATCACTACCATGAAACTAGGAATGGTATCCTTCACCTTGCATAGGACTCTTTCCTGTGGTGGTGAGAACATTGAAGATGCACTTTCTTGGTAAGTTTCAGTGTTACCGACTGCAGTCACCTGCCCAATATCAGCTTTCCAGGACTTTTTCACCTTGGGATCTGATGATCTGACCAGGAAGGAATGCAAATCTATCATATGCTTTATGCCCATATGTAACAGGTACCTTGGTTACACACATATAACATACTAATTAGGAATTCTGTTTGTTTAAAGGCTTTTTATTTAAAAAAAAAAAAAGCTGAAATGTGATCTTCTGTTACTTTTCCAGGGGCAAGATTGTTTTGCTACTATAGTATTCAAAAGTTAACTCTGTAACTTGCAGTCTCTTTGGATGAGAAAATTGTCAGGAGCGTTTGTAGGTGGTCCTGGAGTTTGGCCTGGTTACACCTGTCTCAGACAGAGTTTTGCTTGTCTTGAGACACCTGTTCAGGCTTCCATGCGCTCTCAGAGTGGCCGTGAGTCAGACACAGTCAGAGCTGAGATGAGGTTAACACTCGCCAAATTCACTTCCGAGGAGTGTTTGAAAAGCAGTGAAGTGACATGTTGAAAAAAATAACAACCCTCCAAGCATTTTGACAGTTTCCTGTCCAAGTGACTCATGGCAGCTGCTTGGTGGCTGTGTGCTGCCTATGCACCGATGTCTAAATAAATCTGACTCTAGACTGATGCTTGAAGGGGGAGTGTTTTCATTAGCGCAAGCTCTGTTTGGGACCCAGTGGCTGATAGCCCTGGGGTATCTCAAACAGGATGATTTTCCCACGGAGACAACAGGTGATTGTGACTTGATTCCTGGATGAGATTTCTGAAGGCACCTGCTCCACACGAAACAGTGCTCCAGATGAGTTGATAGCCGCCCGTGGGACAGTTATTCCTCACTTAAAAATATTCATTTGTATTTATTTGAAGGAAAGACACAGGAATTTTCCATCTGCTGGTTCATTCCTCATATGCCCTCAAAGGCCAGGGCTGGGTTAGGCTGCAGCCAGGATCTAAGGGCCCCATTCAGGCATCCTATGTAGTTAGCAGGGACCCAGAACACCTGCTGGCTTCTGCCAGGGTGGCATGAGTAGGGAGCTGGAGCTAGGAGTTGGGAATTGACCCAGTCTCTCCTCAGTGGCATGCTGGTGTCTTCATTACTGGCCCAGATGCCTACCTCTCATTTTGCATTTTAATGTATAAAGAAATGGAACCAAGGGGCCAGTACTGTCACATAGCAGGTAAAACTGTTGCCTACAACAACAGCATCTTATATGGGCACTGTTTCTAGTCCAAGCTGCTCCACTTCTGATCCAGCTTCCTGCTGATGTGCTTGGGTTCCTGCACTTGTGTGGGAGGCTTTATGGTTTCAGTTCTGTGCTTGGTCAGTTCAGGGAGTATATCGAGTGTTAACCAGGAAGCACCAGTTACTACGAAAAGAATGAGTTGTATTTACAGCTTCCTATATCTAATTTAGTGCTGGATGAAATCTTAAAGAAACGTGTTTTTAATATCTCCCAGCAAAGTAAAAAAGGTGTTTTTAATATCCTCCCCAGCAATAAAATCACTACTCAGAAAGGAATGAATGAATGAATAAATGAATAAATTACCCTCATGAAAGAAATTCTGGGGTTTAGCAGGCTAACCCTCTGCTTGTGGTGCTGGCGTCCCATATGGGGGCTGTTTTCAGTCCTGTATGCTCCACTTCTGATCTAGTTCCCTGCTAAAAGCGACCGAAGGTGACCTCGGTGCCTCAGTCTCTGCCACCACAGGGGAGACCTGGAGGAAGCTCCTGGCTTCTGGCTTTGGACTGGCCCAGCCCTGGTAGTTGTGGTCATTTGGGGAGTGAACCAATGGAAGCAAGACCTCTGCCTTTCTTCCTCTCTCTCTAACTCTGCCTTTCAAGTTAATTAGTTCAAAAAGTGAAAAAACCAGGTTTTTTTTTGTTTGTTTTAAAGAAAGAAATTAAGTAAAAAGTATTTTGAAAAAAGCTACACTTATGGCCCCGGCACTGTAGCCTAGTGGTTGAAGTCCTCGCCTTGCCTGTGCTGGGATCCCATATGAGCGCCAGTTTGTGTCCCAGATGCTTCACTTCCCATCCAGTCCCCTACCTGTGGCCTGAGAAGGCACTAGAGAATGGCCCAAAGCCTTGAGATCCTGCATCTATGTGGGAGACCCAGAGAAAGCTCCTGGCTTAGGATCAGCTCATCTCCAGCTGCTGCGGCTGCTTGGGGAGTGAATCACAGGATGGAAGATCTTCCTCTCTGTCCCTCCTCTCTCTCTAAAATCTGTCGTGCCAATAGAAAAGCTGCACTCATTCTCCAGGATGCTCCTTGTCTCAGGAATACTAGATGTGTAGCTTTCACTGCATGAGCTGGGAAAGGAAGGTGCTGAGGATTCCCAAGTCCCGATGCCTGGAGTGGGGAGTTCGCTAGAAGTTGGGCCTGGCTTCTCCTTGGGGAAGGAGGGAGAGCTGGGGAAGGAGAGAGAGCTGGGGAAGGAGAGAGAGCTGGGGTGTGCATAAGCCTGCCCTACAGCTGGCAGTGTTCTAATTTATCTTCCCAACCCTGCAGGAGGAAAGTAGATGGCAAGAAATGGGTTTTTTTCTTAGAAGACACTGATTCACAAAGGAAACATGAATGTCACCCGGAATTCTCACTAGTGTGTTGTTTCTTTAAAAAAGGATTTATTTCTTTTCATTAGAAAGGTAGATTTACAGAGAAAAGGAGAGACAGATGGCCGGAATGGTTGGAGCTGACCCCATCTGAAGCCAGGAGCCAGGAGCCTTGAGTCTCCTCCAGAGACCCATGCAGGTGCAGGGACCCAAGGCCCTGGGCCATCCCCCCAGTGCTTCCCCAGGCACAGTCATGGAGCTGGATGGGAAGTGGTGCAGCTGGGACACAAACTGGTACCCACATGGGCTGCTGGTGTAGCAAGGTGGAAGATTAGCCAGTTGAACTATGTGACTGCCCCACTCACTAGTGTTTTAAATAGGCAATTACTTGTTAATTTCTTGATGCTATAACTAGATTATTTTTATAATAGCTGATATTTAATAAAATACTCATTTGAAAAATTATCTACGTATGTTTCTATTGATTTATCCACCCACTTATTCATTCCCCATATCACATAACAGTAGGGTTGGGCCAGGCGCTTGGCTGAAGCCAGGAACTCGGATCTTCCACGTGGGTGGCTGGGACCCAAATGCTTGAGCCTTTGTCACTGCCTCCCAGCCTGCAGGTTAGCAGAAAGCTGGAATTGGAAGCAGAAGCCAGGCCTCTCTTATCGGCTGCGGCCATCAGCAGCCGCAGTATTCCATTTGTGCTGTGCGGAGAAGGGGACACTTGGGGTACCTGCAGCCTCTGACGGTCACGGTTTGTGTTGCTTGCAGGAGCCGAGGTCCAAGGAGGGCAGTGACTTCTTTGACAGCCGCTCTGATGGGCTCAATCCTGACCTACAGCCCCCCTTCCAGGCACCCGCCCCGCTGTGGTCAGGAGGCTCGGCTCAGGTCCTGTCTCAGAGAAGCGAGTCCACTCACGCGGTCGGCAGCGATCCCCTCCAACAGAACATTTACGAGAACTTCATGCGAGAACTGGAAATGAGCCGGGCCACCACTGAGAACGTGGAGACGTCGACGGAGACGGCCGAGTCCAGCAGCGAGTCGCTGAGCTCGCTGGAGCAGCTGGATGTGCTGTTTGAGAAGGAGCAGGGTGTGATCCGGAAAGCCGGGTGGCTTTTCTTCAAGCCCCTGGTCACCTTGCAGAAGGAGAGGAAGCTGGAGCTGGTGGCCCGTAGGAAGTGGAAACAGTACTGGGTAACTCTTAAAGGTAAGCGCATGATCAGCTCCCGAGGCGCTCTGGCTTCCTGGGAAATGCCAGTGAGCCCAGCAGAGATTCGCTTTAATGCAAAGGGGTTCAGTGGGGTGCTTGAGGGGTCCAGGTCCATGGCCCGGATACACGGAAGTATTGGAGGAGGAGGTGTAGCTGGAGGTTAGCGGAGGAGTGAGATACAGTAGCAAAGAGAAAATATGCAGTCAGGGTGGAAGTGGGCATGTTCAGAAGAGCTGCCCCCACAGGGTTCAGGGTCATCTCTGAGTGATCTGGAGACCTAGGGGGTGGTGCTTTGGGTGGAGTACTCCAGAAAAGAGCAAGGGGTTTCCAAGATCGTGGTGATAGCCCCTTTTCTGGCGTTGCTAGGAAGTGTGATGGCAGCAGTGCATGATGGGAATGAGAGTGTCAGCCCAAGCCGTTTTAGCCCAGTGGTGTTGTAACAGGATTAGGTCATCAAGGGGACCCAGCAGCTGCTGCGAATGCTTCTGCAGGTGCTGGTTCTGATTGTAGCCTTTACTGCAGGAGCGATTTGTTTAGCTTGGTGGTGATGGGAAGAGGAAACCCCTGGGGAGGATGTGGCAGTGTATTTCTTTTGGCTCTTTATCTGATTCTCATGCTCTCCTTACCTAGAGTAATTTAATACAGAGTCTTCATTAAATCATACTTAATTCACAAGTTTTAAATGTTTATTATATATTTGAGAGATGGGATGAGATCTTCAGTCTACTAGGTGCCAGAGCCGAGTAGGGGTAGGTCCCTTGTGTACTTGGCAGGGACCCAAGTGCTTGAGCCGTGACCTGCTGTTTTGCAGAGTGTACATGTTGGGGATTAGTAACAGAAGGACATGAGGTCATGCAGAACTGATTTTTTTTTTTTAATTATGGCAGCAGGGCGGCCATCATCTTGCAGGATGACACATGAGGACAAAGAAGTGAAGGTTTTTATACTTTTACAGAAGAATAGTGCAAGTGGTTGGAAAGCAAGTGTGCAGAGTACAGATTAGCTATTTCCATAAATTCAGAATAACCTGTAACAGTTCCAAGCACAGGGGAGACAAGTAATTCTACTGTGGGAAGAAAAGGACCAGGCACCATTACAAGGAACAACAGATCATCAGATGCTGGGGTCCGGCCTTCCATGCCTCCAGGTCTGTGCACAGCTCACACACCGCACAGGAGGCCTTTTGCTTCTTGTCTGTCTTGGAATGTCTGCCACGCATCTACATCAGTACATGGGCGGAGAATTGGCAGGCCAGGCACTGTGCTGTGGGATGTGGGCATTGCAAGTGACATCATAACTATGGTATCAAATTCCTGGCCCATACAGAATCTTTATTTTACTTTTAAAATTTATTTATTGAAATTCAGAGCAACAGAGAGACTTGTGTCGTTCCAACTTTATAAACCAAGAAAGTCTGATAGCATCACCAACAGTTGAGGTTTCTTTCCATTGTAACAGAAATAGAAGTAAGCCTTCATTAATTAAAGAAGAAAAAGATTTCTCACACTCATTGCCAGGCAGAAATTGCACTTGCCTCACTCATGGGGACTGGGGACATTGGCAGAAGTCTCAGCATCCTGTAAGAAGAGGCCGTGAATGAATGTGATTGATTCAGAGGGGAGCAAGAAGGACACCGCCCATGTGTGACTGTCCGAGGGACTGAGTGTCCCTCACTATCAGGCGCAGTTCCCTATGATGGGACAAAGCAGAAACACAGGTCCCCTCTGTGGACAGTGTGCGACACCACTGGAGCCCTCTGCTCCACTCTCCTGTGTCCTGTGTTTAGAAGTTTGAGTCTCCTTCCCCGCCTTCTGAATTCAGCATCATTCCTTGGTTTCCCAGGAGTCCTTTGGTAGTGGTGCACTTGTACGGGCTGTGCAAGAAGCCTGGGGTGGCTGGGTGTGGTCGAGGGGAGTTTATAAAACACAGAGCCCAGTATCTCCCACTTACTGGAGACCCTTCCTGCCTCCTTACCTAAATATTCATTTACATATTATTTGAAAGTCAGAGTTCGATAAGAGATAGTTAGATAAGAAATTAGATGTAAGACTGGCACTGGGTCAGGCTGAAACCAAGAAATCCATCCTGGTCTTCCACTTGGGTGCAGGAGCTGTCATCAGCTGCTTTGCCAGGTGCATTAACAGGGAGCTGCATTGGAGGTGGGGTGACCTAATCTGAAATGGGAGCTCTTCTGGATGCCGGCATCACAGGCTGCGGCTTGCCAGGCTGCGGCATCGCAGTGCTGTGCACAGCGCTGGCCCCCCCTAGGCCTCTCTTCCAGCTCTGGTTTTGGACTCCTGTGATTTGGTGCTGGAAAAGGCAAGGGTTGGGCCCAGTGTTTGGAGAAGGCAGGTTTTGTGAATTCTGGCTGCAGAGATTGACAACCGTAGGATTAATCTAAGACAAAAATTTGATGGGGTAAGAAAAGTGACACTTTAAGGTTTAAAAGTCAAGTTGCTCCCCAGGAGCAGGAGAAAGAGGTGTGACTGTTCTGTGCTGTCTGTGATCCGGGGTTTGATGTGCAGGCCATTCCACATGAGCTAACAAGGTGATGTGGCTGAATTCAAAGCTCATGTGATTCAAAAGAGAGGTTGGCATCCTCACTGCATCCAGGGATGCTGAGGCATCTGCCAGGTGTTTTTGCTCTGTGGTCACGGGATTGCAGGTGCTGGGAAGCGAGGGGTTGGTCCTCAGAATGGCCCCGCCTAGAGATAACCTTTGAGCTACCTCCTGGGCTGCCCAGCGTGCCGTGTCAGAGAAGCCGAGCGTGGTAACTGCAGGGTGTTCCCACGTCCTGACACAGGCTGCAGCAGCGAGCGCAGGGGGAGTGGAGACCCAGAGGGTGCTGGGGCTCAAGGAGGGCCTGGATTCTTGTGATTCTGTCACTGATGTTGTCTCCTATGCTCCCGACTTCGCTGATTGTGGCAGTCTGTTCTCTCTCTCTCCTGTGACACAAAGAGTGTTCCCTGTGGTCCCCACAGGCTGTCAGCCAGTGACCCCGGCTCTGGAGCCAACAGCAGGAGATTGCTGGGGTGCCGGGAAGCCCCTCTGCCTTCTTGAAGAAGTGAAGTTTCTTTCCAGGTTGTGATAGTTGAGGTTGATTGCCTGCTTCTAAGTCTGCATGGGGTGGTTCGTCCAGCTTGGCTCTCATGTGAAATGTCTGGTGGTGGATTTTACCCTCTTGTGCTGCACCATATGGTCTAGATGGAATGTCAGGTTTGGCAGCCCCTTGGCACCTGCCCAAGGCACACGCTCATCTCCTCTAGATGACATGATCACGCCGTGGCCCTTGGGAGCACAGTGTGAGAGAAGCTGCAGTGCACACCATGGACCCACCGGAACGAGTGTGGCCCTGGGTGATGTGTCCTACTCGTCAGGCCCCGGGTTGTTTGGGGCCGACAGTTCCTGAGTGTGTGAGTGGCTCGACCAAGAGGCAAGCTTAGGCCTCAGTTCTGGCTGCAGGCTTCTTACTGTTTTTTCCTGTTTTGTGTATTTGAGCTCTTTCAACCTCTCAGTTTAGTAGGTTTTATTTGCAGGAGGAATGGTCACTCGGTGCTCCCTGAGACCGTGAAGTGCTCCCATGCTGGGAGAATGGCTGAGCGGGGCAGTCTTCTTACTGGGCCCATTCTCTGGACTTGTTTGTCCCTATTCAGGCTTGCTTTCTGGTTTCTTTCTTTTTCTTTTCTTCTTCTTCCTCCTCTTTTTCTTTTTTTAAGATTTATTTATTTTCATTGGAAAGGCATATTTACAGAAAGAAAAAGAAACAGAAAGATCTACTATCTGCTCACTCTTTCCCCAAGCAGCCACAACAGTTGGAGCTGAGCTGATCTGAAGACAGGAGCCAGGAGCTTCTTCTGGGTCTCCCACATGGGTGCAGGGGCCCAAGGCTTTGGGCCGTCCTCAACTGCTTTCCCAGGCCACTAGCAGGGACACAAATCGGCACCCATATGGGATGCCAGGGCTTGGAGGGGGAGGATCAGCCACTTGAAGCTTTTGCCAGGCCCTCGGGCTTACTTTCCACAGAATTAATGAAACTCATAAAAGTGAGGTAGAGTTTAAAACGCTCCCTCTACTGTGATGGACTAAAGTATATGATGTGACGGAGAGAATGTCATTAATGCCCCCCCCCCCAACCCTTCACAAAGCAGGTGAAAGCAGCTGGACTTTCCTTACGTTCAGTGTGAAAGGCCCTGCAGGAAGGGATGCTGGTGCCGGGGGTTAAGCTGCTGCCCGAGACTCCCACATCCTACGCTGGCGTATACTGCTCTACCAGTCCAGCTTCCTGCTGGTGTGCCTGGGAGGCAACCGATGGTGGCTGAAGTCCTCGGGTCCCTGACACTCATGTGGGAGACCTCGGCAGAAGTTCAGACTGTTGCTTTTCACTTGGTCCTCTCTTGACTTCGGATGCCTCTGGGGAAGTGAACCAGCAGATGGATTATCCAGCTATCTCGTCCCTCTCGTTTTCTTCTGTTTAAGTGTGTGAGCTTTCCCTTTCAAGGAACTAAATTAAATCTTTTTTTAAGGTATTTGCAGAACACTTGAATGGTAACCATGTCATTCATGTTTCTGTGATATGGCTTGATAAATGAAAAGTCTTCAGAAATACTTACTGTATTGAAGGATTGAAGGGATAATAAAAATAAACAAGGCATTTGTGAACATTCTGGAAACATCCGTTTGCTTTAAAAAAGTATAATTATGAGACCTGCATTGTAGCATAGTAGGTTAGGCCTATAGCTGCTGCACTGGCATCCCATGTTGGTGCCAGTTTGAGTCCTAGCTGCTCCACTTCCCTCCTGGCTTCCTGCTAATATGCTGATGAAGATGGTGGAAGATCGCCAAGTGGTTGGGTCCCTGCCCCCATGGGAGACCCAGAGGAAGCTGTCACAGGACTCATGGGAGTAAACCAGTGGGTGAAAGATCGCTCTCAGTCCCCGCAGTTCTCTCTCTCCTCCCTGCTCCTCTCATCCTCTTTCTCCCTCTACCCCTCCCAGCTCTGCCTTTCAGATCAATCAGCAAAAATAAGAGTAGCATAATTACAAGGAATTGCAGTATACTTCTCGAAGGAGACCCTGTCGTATCTCTGTCTTTATTAACTTATCACTAGAAGCATAGGTACTGAGAAGCAGCTGGCAACAGTCATATATAACTGTGTTACTCTCCCTTAGTAATTTTTAAAAAGATTTATTTGTTTTTATTGGAAAGGCAGGTTACAGAGAAAAGGACAGATAGCAAGATCTTCCGTCTGCTGATTCACTCCCCAGATGGCCTCAACAGCCATAGCTGAGCTAACCCAAAGCCTGGAGCAGGAGCTTCTGGGTCTGTCACATGCGTACAGAGTTCCAAAGACTTGAGTCATCCTCCATTTCTTTCCCAGGCCATGAACAGGGAACTGGATTGGAAGTGGAGTAGCCAGGACACAAACTCGTGCTCATATGGGATACTGCTGCCTCAGGTAGAAGCTGACTGTGCTATGCCACAGTGCTGACCTCTGGAGCTGCAAATTTCTTTTTTTGAAAGATTTATTCAACTTTTTTTTTTTTTTTTAGTCTGAAAGGCAGATATATATATAGAGAGAGAGAGAGAGAAGGAGAGAGAGAGAGATTTTCCATCCTCTGGTTCACTCCTCAAGTGGCCACAAGGGCCGGAGCTGAGCCTGTCTGAAGCCACGAGCCAGGAACCCCTTCCTGGTCTTCCTTACAGTTCCAGGATTCTAAAGCTTTGGGCTGTCCTCTACTACTTTCCCAGGCCACAAACGGAGAGCTGGAAGGGAAGTGGAGGAGCCGGGACAGAAAGTAGTGCTTGTATGCGGTCCTGGTGGGTGTAAGGTGAGGATTTAACTACTAGTCTATCACACCAGACCGTAGCTGCAAATTTCAAATGTGATTGATAAATAGAGAATTTCCTTCAGCACCCCACATTTAGATTCCCTAAATGCAGTAGTTTTGTGTTTAAGAATGAGGACTGGAGCCAGAAGGCAGGAGTGCTGGCCCTGCTCCCCCCAGGTCTGGCTCTGACACCTGTGGTCACACTCAGGATTGGCCTGCTGGAATGGAGTCAGGAGCTGTGCCACCTCCTGAGGCTGCTGTGGGGATGAAGTGAGCTAAATTAACATATGCTTAGCCTTGTAGTTGCTGATACTGACTTATGAAAACATCTCCTTTCCCCTTGAGGTTGTGTTACTGCACTGGGCCTCTCAGAGGGCCAGCTCTTGAGCCACCGTGATTGTGCTCACTGTCTCCTGTAGGTGCTGGGGTGTTTGGGCTGGGTCATCACCTTCTCATGTTCCTCTGCTGCTTTCCCAGGCTGCATGCTGCTGTTCTATGAGACCTACGGGAAGAACTCGGCGGATCAGGCCGGCAGCCCCCGGTGTGCCCTGCTTGCGGAGGACAGCATAGTGCAGTCTGTGCCAGAGCACCCCAAGAAGGAGCACGTGTTCTGCCTCAGCAACTCCTTCGGCGACGTCTACCTTTTCCAGGTGTGGCCCCGGATGCTTGGGACACGGAGGGCTGTGGTGATGGCTTGTGTCATGTTAGGGTAAAAAAGAGCAGAATTCAAAGGTAAAACGTAGAAGGGTCGTCAGGGAAGCACCTGGGCTTTGGACCTGGGCTCAAGCCGGAGACCTTGGGCTCATCCCGCTGCCCAGTGCAGCAAGGCCATCCCAGACCCATGACGTGTGCAGCATTTCCCAGATGCTCAAAGAATGCCAGGCTGTGGCCCCTGAGATGCTAATTAGGACGAAAGAGAAACCCCCTACTTCCCATTCTGGAGTAGGTCGGGTGAGAACCCCGCGGGGGCAGGGCAGCAGTAGGCATGGGCAGCAGTGGGCATGGACAGCAGGGGTGAGACTCTTCCCACATGTCCCTGCTGAGAATGCGAAAAGTGTTTTCAGGATTACCCCATGGGCGAGAGCTGTAAGGCCTCATTCTGTTCGAGGGGGCTCTTGGATTGTTAAATTTCAGCTTATGGCTGGCAGGAATTGTAAATAACTTTCTAGCACTTAGGGAGTTTCGGCAGCCAGTGGTGTTGAGTGATAGGTCCTGGCGTCACGTGTGGCTTTGAATAGGGGCGCTGTTGTTGAACGCATAACTGATGCTAGTGCACCTGAGTGAATTTCTCTGTGCTTCAACCCTTCACAGGGATCCCAGGAGCCTACAGGATGGCTGCAAGTGTGAATAAATATAGTGTGTGTGTGTGTGTTCCATGCCCAAGAAACTCGGTTGCCAATCAACTCAAAGAGGGTCGAGGGTAACTGGGAAGTGAAGTGAGCTCTCTGGTGACTGCTGATCCAAACTCAGACACGCCGCTGTTGGCTGTGTCTGACTGCAAGGGTCGTGGGAACATGGGTTTAGGTCACGTTCTCAAGTGACCCTGAGAGTCCTCAGAGTTCCTCTGGGGTGACCTTGTGATTGTGGCCGCCTCGCATGCTGTCCGCCTCAGATCCCAGGGCCAGCTGTGTGCCAGCCTGCAGCCTCCTGCTGCCCGGGCAGCTGGGTGTCCAGGAGGCAGAGCTGGGATTTCATGCTGCTTTTCTTAGGGAAAGGCTCCCTAAGCCTTTGCATGCTGCTCACGGGAAATACTGAAATGTAGTTAATCTGGAGTGGAGGGAAGGAAACACCATAGGTTAGATCGACGCGACTTTCTTAGGGGCAAGAATGAAGGGAAGAATGCATTTAGCGATTCAGGTAAAAACGTCTTTAGTTTTGAGAAGTTTTCTCCGTTGATGTTCCTCTGTGATCTCAGAGGCTACCCTAGGGTGAAGTCTGTGGCTTGAAAGTATGTGGAGATTCCATCCTGCTTAGAATCCTAGTCAACCATCGTGCTTTAGACAAAGTTTCCTAGCTGCTGCTTCTGCTTTTTTTGTTTGTTTGTTTGTTTGTTAATATAAAAAGCTTCCTTTTAAAGAAGGCAAAGTGGCAGGAGGGACAGAAAAAGAGACAGACTGAAGTATCCCATCCTGTGGTTCAACTCCCCAAAATCCATCATAGTTGCAACCATTCGGCCAGGCAAAAACGATGAGACGGTTACTTCCTGTGGGTGGCGGGGGAGCCCACGTGCTTGCCTCCTCATCAGCAAGGGGCTGGGTCGCAAGCAGAGGTGGCATTCAATTCTGGGCACCTTGGCGTGGGTCGTGGGCATCCCGTGCAGCAGCTTAATGTGATGTGCTCCTGAGGACAGAGAAAGCACAGCCAGTCCATGCACTCAGCATGCAAGGAGAATGTACCCGCTCCCTGCACCGCCCCAGCCGTCTCTCAAGGGCATTTTTCCTCAGTGTTTGGTCCTTCGTGTTTATGCCATTTATAGCCAGGGTTCCAGTGTTACTACTTCAGCTCCCCCCCCGTATTTTCACAGTCTTAAAATTCTGCAGGGACGCAGCTGGATACAGCCGTGCTTTCTTAGCATCCCGCTGTCGTTGGCTGTTCTCTTCCTGCCAGCCTTCCTTCCTGTTTGCTTCAGGGCTCCACGATTCTTTGTGTTTCACCCTTGAGGTTGCTCAGACCCCAAGTCTGTGTTGAGTGTTTGTGTGATTTTGACATTCAGCCGTGCTTCTCTGAAGCTCAGGCACTTAACTCTTGGGTTTTTGCATGTGGGAACCCAGCCTGCTATTCTGGCTGGCCTGCTCTGGTAGCGTGATTTCAAGTGGTTCTCACTGTTCTGTGTTTAGGCCACCAGCCAGACAGACCTGGAGAACTGGGTCACCGCCATCCACTCTGCGTGCGCATCCCTTTTTGCCAAGAAGCACGGGAAAGAGGACACGGTGCGGCTGCTGAAGAGCCAGACCAAGGGCCTGCTCCAGAAGATCGACATGGACAGCAAGATGCGCAAGATGGCCGAGCTGCAGCTGTCGGTGGTGAGCGACCCCAAGAACAGGAAGGCCATCGAGAACCAGGTACTGGCCGCCTGGCTCACACCACTCACTCACAACGTGCTAGTCTTCTGTCTGGCTTTTTTTTTTTTTTAAAGAATTATTTATTCTTATTGGAAAGGTAGATTTACAGAGAGGAGAGACAGAAAGATCTTCCATCTACTGGTTCACTCCCAGAGTGGCCGCAAGGGCTGGAGCTGAGCCAATCTGAGGCCAGGAGCCTCTTTCAGGTCTCCCTCGCAGTTCCATGGTCCCAAGAATTTGGGTCATCCTCTGCTGCTTTCCCAGGCCACTAGCAAGGAGCTGGATGGGAAGTGGAGCAGCTGGGTCACGAATGAGTACCTGTATGAGATGCCAGTGCTTGAAGGTAGAGGATTAGCTAATTGAACCACGATGCCATCTTGCTTGAGGGTGTTTTCTGCATGGCCCCAGCGGAGTGGTGTCTGCGGCGTCTTCCTTCTGGTCTCAGGTGGCCGTGCGTTCTTTGGTGCTGGGAGAACACTGCGTTTCCGGGGCTGGTCACGTCATCAGGAACCGAGGTTTCGCTGTAGCTCACAGTTTTAGGGTCCGTGAGTCCACCACACTGTGGTGGATGATTTCATGGCTGGAAGCCGTGAGGGGAGGGCACAGGCTGTGGCAGGAAGCGGTGGAGTGAATCAGACGACGTGTTTGCTTTGTGTAGCAACACACTCTCAGTCAACCAGCTTCTGCTAGGTCCCATTTCTTTAAAAAAAAAAAAAAGAAAGAAAGAAAGGAAAAAAGATTTGTTTTTATTGGAAAGGCAGATACAGAGAGGAAGATTTTCTGTCTGATGGTTCACTCCTCAAGCGGCCCCAAGTGCTGTAACTGAGCTGATCCGAAGCCAGGAGCCAGGAGCTTCTTCAGGGTCTCCCATGCAGGTGCAACGTCCCAAGGCTTTGGGCCGTCCTCTACTGCTTTCCCAGGCCACAAGCAGGGAGCTGGATGGGAAGTGGGGCCTCCAGGGTTAGAACCGGCGCCCACATGAGATCCTGGCATGTTCAAGATGAAGATCTTAGCCACTATGCTATTGTGCCAGGCCCAGGTTCTATCTCTTAAAAGATCCCATCACCTCTTCATAGTGTCATCTGGGGGTTCAGGGCTTCCGAACCATTACCTTTGGGGCATATTGAAAATGTTTTCTAAGCTGTAGCACTGATTCACTCATATCTTAACATTTTCAGTACAAAAGCCGTAGAATTAAACCACTTTGAAGATGCCCTACATAATTCTAATGCAAAGCATGACATTGGAAAGTGCTGTTTGGTATGCCAGTTAACCCAGTGTCCGTGGGTTCCAAAAGCCCAACCACAGGGGAGGAGAGGCTGCCAGGGGCTTGCTTTCTGGCATCTAGTTGCACACACATGTCCTCCTTACGTAGCTAGTGATGGCTACTGCAGTGGTGGCACGAGAAGGGTGGAGTTTGCCTCTAACCAAACTCGGAATGGATGGCAGAATTCTGGCGGGCCACTCAGGCAGTGAGACCACCCCTGCACCAATGAGGGGCACAGACTCATATCCCCCCACCAATAAGGGCCGAGGTGACCCCCGTCTCGGCTTCTGTGTCAAGGAGAGTTTAAAAGGGCCTCACCCCCGTCTCTTCCATGCTCCTCTTCCTCTGCAGCTCACTCCTTCCTGTCTGTCCTTTCTGCTGCACAGGGAAGGGAAGCCCATGACCGTGGTTCCCTGGAATAAAGGCCATCTCAATTCTTTTCATATATTTGGCCAATTTATTCTTTCCCTGGCGAGCAGCGAATATAACGTGGCCAGCGGCAAATCTAACAGCTAGCACCCAAGCTCCCATTCTGATGGCATTTTAGAGAATGAAGTACGGATTTTAAATGTTCATGCCCTTGAGCCAAACAAGTACCAGGGAGTGTCGCTGGGGCCTCTGGATCCCGTCTGAGTCAGGATCCCTGGAATGGGGATCGCAGTAGGGAGTTGTACCAGGAGTACACTCAGGAACGACACCAGTTAGAGAGTGACAGGCACGTGTGATAAGTGACTCACCCCAGCCGGTAAGGGGAACCCAAGGGCTGGCGAGGCACCCAGGGGCTGGCAAGGCTCCCAGGGGCTGACGGGAGCCCGGCTTCTGTTCCCCTGCTCCTGCTTGTGACTGGGAAGAGCTCTGAGCTGAGGGAACCTTCATGTGCATGGGATCGAGGGTGTGCCCAGGACCACTATGGATGGAGTGTGCGTTTCTGAGCAAGCCCGAGGAACCTCATCAGAAACCTCAGTGATGGCGGTGGGAAACATGTGGCTGTCATTCTGGAGTTCTGAGCTCCGCTGTATTTCAGTCTTTTTGGAGGCAGACCCACCCTGCTTGGAGCTTTTAGCTCCTTATGGAGTCAGATGTTTAGGCCTGGGGAGAGTAAAGGGGCAGTTCAGCAAGGTTGGGAGACTCCTTGTCTGTCTCCTGTGTGTGTGTGTGTGTGTGTGTGTGTGTGTACACACGCATGTCCTTTTTTGTATGTGAGACTTCTTTATGAACGAACACATGAAGTCTAAGCAAACTTTAATTTTTTTTTTTTTTTGGTGAAATGTGATTCTCTTGGGTCTAGTTTGTAAATTCTTACTTGCTGGTTAGTGGGAGGGCATGTGGCTGTGACCTTTGCAGTGATCCACAGGTAAGGACAGGGCCTGAGCTCTGAGTGTGCCCGCTTCTCACACCCTCCTGCCTAGCCCTCTTGGCAGGACCGTTCCCTTGGTTATTTGAAGTTCTTCCTAGCACTGCGAATTGTCGCATCAGTTTGTTAGAGTATTGGTATAATGTTAGTATGTTAAAATGTTAAGAATATCAGTGTTAGGTGATATTAGGCCCTTTTGGGTGAGAAGGCAGTACTTCGCTAGGTCAGAAGGCGCCTGCACTGTGGGAAAGCTCCACTTTAGTGATCAATCTGTCTCCCTTGTTTCTTTATCTACCATCTAACCCGGGTGCAGGAAGGCAGGGGCACAGTTCCCCGGTCCAGGGACGGAGGAGCCAGGGTCGGGAGGAGCCATAAAACACTGGAGGAGCCATAAAGACAAGGGTGTCAGGATGGGATGAGCCGTAAATGATAAGTGTGGGAACGTAAATAATGAGTGTGAGAATGGAACAGACTGCTTGCACCTAAATTTGTTACTTTTGAGTTGACTTTGATATATGTTATAGCCAAGACGGGGTATATAATCTCCAGCCTTATGTTAAGTCGGGGTCCGATCCGCTTGGCTGGCCTGTGTGCCCCAAGTACGATCTGACCCCAGCATGCTGGCACAATAAACTCTGTTTGCTTTTTGCATTACCAGTGAGACTCTTTGTTGTTTTCTGGGGGTTGACTAGCTCGCACCCTAATGTCCGGATGGGGAGCTATGGCCCGGACTCGAACAAGTTCTGCCTTCCCCCACGACCTGGCCCGAACTCCTGCCTGCTGCTTCTCCACGCACCCATCCCTTCTGCTCCTCTCATTACGCACAAACCTGCCACACCACACCACACCCCTGCCCCACCCACACACCCCCTTCTCTTTTTACTCCAGTGGAAGAAAGCAATTTGCAATGATCTACACAAATGCCACCGGAAGATATCTTCTCACCGCGTTGGCAATTCCCGTGGGCATAGTAAAGTCATCTCTTTTCAAAGGCGCTTGCTGTGGGTGACGTGTTTTCATGTACTGTGTCCACTGCCCTTCATTGCTTTGCCAGGAAGTTGCCAAGAGAGCTGTTTACTCGTACGAGAGGCAGAACCGTGAGGTGCAGGGCAGGATGGAGCAGAGGCCTGGATGCAGGTTTATGAAGTCGCCCTTGGCTGGGCAGCTGGTGAGTGGGGCTCTGTAGCCAGAGGGTTCGTAGAGTGAGACCAGTCAGGTGGTGGTCTCCTAGGTGTCGCATGGGGGTGTAGTTTTCTCTGGAAAACCTTTTCAAAACTTCTTCCAAAGAGCAGTGCTTTACCCACTTACCATTTAAAATATGCTTTTATTCATGTAGTGCGTTTCCCCGGAGACCTCAAAAAGGCCTTGGATGGAGTCATAGCAGACTGTCCTATGAATAGTAGAATGTGCAGTGTGGCTGACATCATGCAAGTTCCAGTCTGTGGCGCAAGGTTTCTTTGAAGTAGCTGGGTGGAGGAGGTCATTGTCAGAGCCTTTTCCTAATCAAAAGACTACGGCAGTCAGAACTGCTGAGCTTCGGACTGTCCTAGGGTCACGTGCTTTGCTTAAGACAAGCGTGTCTTGGGTCTTGCCCTCAGGCCTCTTGGGTATTCCTGTGCGGGCAGCATGATGCAATTTTCTTTGGGGCCTGTCCAGTGAGGCCCCGACCAGGCTGCTAGGCTGCCTAAATCCCCTGGGAGGAAGAGCTGTAAATCAAGTCTAGTTAGTGCTTGATTTTCCTTTCCGAGGATTATTTTAACCAAGTAAATGAGGACAAAACCTCACCACCCTTAGGCGGTCTGGACCTGCTCCCAGATGACTTCCTGTATCCCACCTCATTATGTGCTTGTCTCAAGACAGCTATGACTCATGGGGCTGGGAGGGTGCCTGGGTGGGCGAGGGGGCCACTCAGAGGGCTGCTGGGTGGGGTGCAGTGGGGCGGCATGCTTTGGGGTCTTGTGAACTGTGGACTTCATGTTCAGTACTTACCGAAATTGATTTTTGAATGAGGAGGAAGATGGATTGAATTTTGACAACTGGCAACTTTGGGCAAAGGGACCAAAGTTCTGGGGAGGATATAATGCCGTATAAGGTGGTGGAGGAGGAGAAGAGGGAAGAAACGTGGGGAGCAAACTCTTGGTGAGTGGAGAATGTATTACACATCCCCCACTGGTTAGAGGGAGACCAAGTCAGATGGTGGAGGTACAAAGACATGGACTGTGTTCAGCCGCCATGGGGCAGGGAGCAGCAGAATGTGGGGCTGGAGATAGGTGGATGAGTATTCATTATGAACATGCGTGCTTGAGGTGCTGTGAGTCTAGCCAGGGCAGCACACAGCTGAATTCAGAGCAAAGGATATTCCAGAAGGTTGTGGAAGGCAGAAGTGGGAAATTGTGGAAGACTTGCTGCTATGGTACCTGAGCCCATGATTCCACTTCTCTGTACACTTGGTCCTCCTGTGGGGGAGACTCCACCTGCTGCACGGGCCTGCTGCTTCTCTTGGGCCTCTTGGTTCATTCTGTTTCAGGCCATGATTGTGCCGATTTCATGGTGAGTCTGTGAGGTCGAGATGGGTAGATGGTTGGATAAGTGGACAGAACAATGTACCCCATTAATGAAACATAAGTAGAACTTTAGGTGAAATGAATGAGCCACAGCTGGTAAGTGACAGAGCTGGGATTCGAACCTAAATCCGTCTCTAACTCCTAGGCTCTGATGACTCTGGAAGACACCAGTGAGGTGGATGGTGATTTGCTTCAGCCCCCTCACTTTTATAACTTGGATTTTTCAGTTCCGCTCAGTGGGGGGGGGGGTGCTGTATTTGTAAGTGTGTTTGAATTGTATCGCTAAGGGGAATGTTACAAAATCTATTCTCTAAACCTTAGCTGCTTGTTTTAACTACTAGTCAGTTAGGTGTAACTAGTTAGGTGGGGGCTGCTAAGATCTGCTGTGTAACCTGTGTTATTAGTCGAATTCTTCAATGAAGATAGAGATTTTAGTGTTTGGGAATATAACATGGGAATTTTTCAATGTATTCCACCAAAAAGAAAAAGTAATTATCTTTTAGGACAAACCTGGTGATGACCAAGTGGCCATTTGACATACCGTGATTAAATGACCAAACTGTCAAAAATATTTTCCTAGCGGTGTTGGGTGTGGCAGGAATGTGCTTGTCATCTTTCTGTGTGTCACTGATTCATCTGGTATTTTCGGCACTGGCCTTCAGTGCTGCCCGCCTCCTGTTTTCTGCAGGAGACCATAGCTTTCTGAGCTCTGTAAGTGACTGTGGTTACAGTGGCGACAGTGGTTATAAAGGGGGATTTGTGTCAGTGTTAACAGTAGGAAATTCCCCATGTAGTTTGTTTTGTTAATAGTTTTGCCTTTTACGATGAAACAAAAGATGATGAAAATTTTCTTAGAGTGAGTTTTTTTTTTAATGGTTTTAAATGTCACTTGCATTGGTCTATTCTTAAGGATTTAATCATTTTATTTGAAAGGCAGAGTTACAGAGAGAGACAAAAAGATCTTCTATCCACTGCTTTACTTCCCACATTCTTCAGTACAAGGCAAATGTTTAAATATGTAACGGAAATGTGCTAACGAGGGTTTACGCTGCTATTCATTGGGGGAATGGAGACATGAGGATTCAGGGATCTCCACGGAGACAGACTGTGTGTGTGAGTGAGTGCTTGTGTGCACGATGCGTAGATTACTTACAAGAAATAGACAATTGGGCCCGGCACAGTGGCGCAGTGGTTAAGGTCCTCGCCTTGCATGCCCGGGATCCCATATGGGCGCCGGTTCTATCCCAGCAGCCCCGCTTCCCTTCCAGCTCCCTACCTGTGGCCCGGGAAAGCAGTGGAGGATGGCCCAAAGCTTTGGGAACCTGCACCCGCGTGGGAGACCCAGAAGAGGCTCCTGGCTTCGGATCGGCATAGCATTGGCCGTTGCGCTCACTTGGGGAGTGAATCATCGGACGGAAGATCTTCCTCTCTGTCTCTCCTCTCTGTATATCCGCCTTTCCAATAAAAAATAATAAAAATAAATCTTAAAAAAAAAGAAAAGAAATAGACAATTATGAAGGCATTGGTGCCCCAAGGTTTGTAAGGTCAGTCAGGAAGCTGGGACCCAGGAGCAATGGTGGCTTGTGTCCAGGCTGCAGGCTGACAGTGACATCCCAAGACCAAGAGGAGCCAGTGTTTCAGACAGAATCCAGAAGCAAGAAAAAACCAATGTCCCCAGCTTCAAGGCCTTTGCATCTACTGCAGGATGTTCGGCTTTTCGCTTCTATACCCGTTCAGGGCTTCACCTGTCATGAAGGCAGCCTGCTCTACTCTGTTCCCCACCCAAGTGTTCATCTCTCTCCAAAGTACCTAGAATATGTGAGAAGAAAGATCTGAGCACCTTGTGACCCTATAAGATTGACTCATAAAAGCAGCCCTCCTGGAGGGCCCCTGTTAGAATCAGGATAAAGAGCAGAAGTGATTTATCACACTGATTCTGATAAAAGTGTAAGATTTCCCATGTATGATGTATGTTAGAAATGTCTTAATGTATCAGTGGTGATAGGATGTACTGTTTCATAAATATGTTAGATTATACTTTTCAAAGTATTTGTAAGCGGAAGAATTCCATTTCAGTTAAGAAGCTTATCCTTTGGAGCTGGTATGGTGGCATAATAGACTGATCTTCCGCCTGCTAACCCCAGCATCCTGTATGGGCACCAATGTGTGTCCTGGCTGCTCGATTTTCCACCAGCAGTCTGCTCATGGTCTGGGAAAGCAGTGAATGAGGGCCTAAGGCCTCGGGACCCTGCAGCCACATGGGAGAGCTAAAGGAGCTCCCAGCTTTGCATCAGCTCAACTGCGGACATTGCAGCCACTTGGAAAGTGAACCTGCAGGTGCAAGATTTCCGTCTCTCCCTCTTTCTCTCCTAACTCTGTCTCTTTAAGTTAAATAGACCAATGTTCAAAAAGAAAACGAAGAAGGGCTTGTCTTTTTCCTTGGTCTGTGGCGATTTTATTTCTTTCTTCTCTTTTTTTCCTTTAAGCTTGTTAAACGTCAGCAGTTGACATGGGTGTCTTGTCTTATTGTAAAGGTGGCTTAAAAGGTGATGAGATCATGGAAACCTGTTCAGAACCAGAGTGGGCAGAGAGGCATGAGGTGGGAGAGGACTGTTTCTCGTCTCATCTGTGTCCACTGGGAGAGAGGCTACTCCTCCATGGTTACTTGATGTCTTAGTTTTGCTAAAGGCCATCTGGAGGGGAGGGTGTCCCTATCAGGTACCTTGGTGGTCCTTCTCACCCAAGGATCCTAATGTCAAGCCCTGGCTGAGTTCAGTGGTGCGCTGTGGTTTCAGCCTCTCTGGAGCCCCATCTTGAAGGCCCTGGTCTCCCACATTCCTAAACTGGCGTCTTGATGTACCACGATGTGGCCTGTCTAGGATCCCGAGGATCCACTGGCCTGCTCATTCCCAGACCAGAGCAGTGGACCTCAATAAGGCTGTCCATCAGAATCACAGTTGGTGCTTTGGAGTGAAAGCTTTCCTAGGCCTCAGGAATAGAACCCCTAGGCACACAACTGGGGCATCTACGTCTTCCAAGTTCTTTCTGCTGCTCATTCGGGAGTGACAATGGGAGGCTAGTCCATTGCTCAAGAGGCTGTTTAGTCTCTGAAGCAGAGTTAAACTTAGTATGGATGCTGTTGTCACTTCAGTGTACTCTGTGACTCCGTTGTTATTGACAATGATGAGTCAACACGTTATTTATGTAAGTCTAATGGCCCTCATATTTGTTTCATGCAGAAAAGTTGTACCGTGACCTAAAGAAGAATTGGGAACAGATTATAGGGAGCTGGGGAATGCCCATGCTTGGGAATATTTTTCCGTGGGAGGAGACCGAGGGGATGTGGTGTTCGGGGTTGGAGATCCCCCACCTGTCGCTTTGCAGTAATTGAGGATTCGCACAGGAAGCTCAGGGTGAAAGGTCCGGATCCGTTTGATGTGAAGAACATGACAAAACCAGAACTATGGTTGCTGGAAAGGAAGTGACGTGACTCTCTGCTGCATCCTGTATTGCAAGTCTTTGCTGCAGATCCTCATTGGATTCTGTGACAGTCCCTCTAGACTTTACTCTTTTTTTGAAAGATTTATTTAGTCAAAAGGCAGATGCACAGAGATGCCTTGCTACTACAGCTCCTGGAGTCAGGAGTCCATCTGGGTCTCTCATGTGAATGCCGGGGTCCCAAGTACTTAAGTCGACCTCCACTGCCTTCCCAGGTACATTCACAAGGAGCTGGATCAGAAGTAGAAGATCGGGGACTTGAACCAGCATTCAGGGTCGTAGGTGGCAGCTTAATGGACTATGCCACAGTTCCAGTCTTCCTTGATGCCTTTGGAAATCTCAGCTTCTCTTGTGCTTGGGACGTCCTGTGTTGGCAAATCCTCAGAGCCCTTTCAACCTGTTGGTTTCTCTGTGGTTGAAGGTGATGCTTGTAGGTAACACACTTTGGCATTTGCAGAATGGAAGAGTCCTCCAAGTTGGCCCACTCATGATTTTTTTTAAGTGTGGAAGGGTTTCTTGTGTGTCAGTTACTGGAAATACTTTGGTTTATTCGGAATGGCAGGTGGTGGTTATTCAAGATAAGAAAAGCAGCAGGGATGGTCCTACTTGCCTTTGCACCTTAAGTCTGCTTGCTTCTTACTGATTTCAGTCACAGACTTAAAAACAAAATGCAGTCCCATCTTTCAGTTATGCACCATCCATGAGCAGTTCTGTTTATCCACGTGAGCGTCAGAGGCTGTACATATGAAGGGAGAGACAGCAGAGTGGAGAATGGGGCTGTATAATTTACCACTGTCCTGCGTCAGGCTGGTTGGGGACTTTGGCTTGTCACTGTGTAGGGACCACCGGCTCTCTTGTGTTACTGGCTGCCTTGCTGACCCGTTTAACCAGCCCTGCAGGTGGCGTGCTAGGGGAAGGCAGAGTGGAAGCAGGCAACTCGTGCTGCAGTGAATTTTTCCTTTTGACCTAGCCCATGAAAAGCATCTTTTCTTTGTGTTGTCCTTGGTCTTTAAGATCCAGCAGTGGGAGCAGAACCTGGAAAAGTTTCACATGGACCTCTTCAGGATGCGATGCTACCTGGCCAGCTTACAAGGAGGGGAATTACCGAACCCCAAGAGTCTCCTGGCAGCCGCCAGCCGCCCCTCCAAGCTGGCTCTTGGCAGGCTGGGTGTCCTGTCCGTGTCTTCTTTCCACGCTCTGGTGAGTTTCTAGGTGGGGCCCAGGATGTTTTCCTCTGTCCTTTCACTATGCTGAGACCCAACTCGGCAGCTGCCGAAGGCCCCCCTGCAGGCCCAGGCACTGGACACTGGGCACTGCTGCTTCTGGGTGGGCTGTAACTTGCCATGCCAGAGCACAGTGGTCCCACATTCATGTCTGCCTCTGCTATTCTGTCTAGCCCCCCTTCCCACTGCCAGGCGGTAAGGCAGTATCCCCCGAGGAGAAGCACAATGCTGTGAAAATTAAGGCATTGATTCAAAGTTGCATGATGTGTACTGCAGAGGGCCCCTCTGGGTTTATGGAAGCTCTGCCTGCTGAATGGCTTCTGTGGGCTGTGCTGGCCTCTGTTGGTGGTGCTGTTGACCACGCTGCCCACGGGACAGAGGTCTGAGTGCTGCACCATCCCCCATAAGAGGCATCTAGAGGCTCCGCAAACTCCTGAATAGGTTTCAACTTTTGGCGCTGGTCACAATGCAGTTTCAGCAAGCAATACTTTCTTCTGTTAGGTCAACGATTTACATAATAAACCTGAAGGGTTGTGTTTGTTGTTGTTTGGTTTGTTTTTAATTGTGTTTGAAATTAGGTGTGCTCCAGGGATGACTCAACTCTGCGGAAAAGAACACTGTCCCTGACACAGCGGGGGAGGAGCAAGAAGGGCATCTTCTCCTCCCTGAAAGGCCTGGACACCCTGGCAAGAAAAGGCAGGGAGAAGAGGGCCTCCGTAGCTCAGGTGAGTCCGCCAGCAGCAGCACGTGGGAATGTGTGCTTGGCGCCCCTGATTTTTAGTTGGCTGCAAACCATGAATTTGTGTCCTCTGACAAGGGAGTAGTGACAGTTCGTCTATTTATAGATTGATTTATCTTTATTGGAAAGGCGGAGTTAGAGGGGGAGAGAAAGAGAGAGCTTCCGTCTGCTGGTTCACTTCTCACATGCACACAACGGGCAGGAGCTGTCAGTGTAAAGCCAGGCAGGAGCCGGGAGCGACGAGCTGCTTCCTGGTCTTTGATGTGGGTGTAGGGACCTAATCACGTGGACCATGATGTGACCATTTTGCCAGGCACATTAGCAGGGAGCCAGCTTGGAAGAGGAGCAGCCAGGACTTAAAAGTGGTGCCCATGTGATGTGGCATGCCATCGCTACATGGGCTTTTTCAACCAGGCGCAAGGTGCAAGTGACTCAGTCTGTTTTGGTCCATGCAGATGTACAGTGGTAAAAACACACAGAATAAGTAGAAAGAGATCCACACTTTTTTTTTTGTTGCCTTTAGTGTTCGTTTTAATCTCTGCATAGGATTTATATTAAAGAAGTGGGGACAGTTAATAACAGTGATTGCAGCTACATTCCATGGATAGAGCCAACGAGGTGCTTTGCTTTCTCAAACCTTACATGCACCGTCCCTCATTATAGATAAGAAAACTGACACTTGGAAGACACCATCCCCACTTTCCAGCAGTTGAGGGACAAGGCTGGGACCTGCCTGAGCCAAGCACGGGCGTTGCTGTTGCTCCATTCCCCTAGGCGGGTGGCCATTTCACATTGCACTGAGTAGGAAGAGTTGGGCGTTTATTGCCTCCCTGCAGGCCAAGTGCAGAGCTCTGGTGAGGACGGCTTGCAGCGGGGGCTCTGCAGCACTTCTCAGTGCGTTGCACATCCTTAGGGTGATTTTCAGACTCTCGGAAGGAGAGTTTGTGTGATTGTTTTGGAGAGGACAGAAGGCATCTGCATTTGCATCTGGAGCAGAGGTGTGTGTGCGTGAACTTGCTCCTGCTGCTTTCAGTATTCTCTCCAGGAGGCTCCTGTTGTGTGAGGCTTGATTTTCTGACCCGTGTAGGGCGTGTTTTCTGCGCTCAGCACTGAACAGAGGACGTGCCGTCAACTTCTTAGGCCTGTTTAAAGCCTGGGAACAGTCCAGGTGTAGAGACGGGGGGAGTGAATTAGCTGAGGGAATGAAACCTGTTTATGTGGACACTTTTTGTGTGTTCTGTATGAAAAGTATCACATTTTAAAATTCTAAGTAAGCTTTTAACTTACTTGTAAAGAATAACTCCTCCTTGGTTAGGAGTGTGCATTACTCCCTTATAACCATCAGCCCTTGGCCGACGCCAGGCCTCTGCTGTAGGAGTTGAATCTTTGAAGTTTAGCTCCTGTCCTCATCACTCCTGCTGATGTTAAGATAGTTGATTCTATATAAGTAGTGATAGCACAATAAATCACTTGACAAAATGCTGTTTTCTTTAGTGATAGACATTTAGTTAATTAGCTATCCGCCTGATGTGGGCTTTACCCCAGCATGCGTGGTTAATATTCTCAAGCTTTTCTTAGTAGAGTGCTTAAAAAAATTATTTGTTTAAAAAAGATACAGAACCAGCTACAGTGTTGACACTCATATAAATAGATTAAATTGATCGAGTCGATTGGTTTTCCAGAGTATTAAAAGGATCCTTAGTGTTAATTATTCTGTTGCAAAAGTTTAAAGATAAAATTTGCGAAAGTCAAGGAAATAGCTCCTGGTCCCTCGACCCGAATATAACTGATTTTGCCATTTAGTTGTAGTTTCCCCCAAGATTTTCTGTGCCCATAGAGTTATAAGCTTGATTTTCATGTTGTCAGCGCAACTCCAGGCCATGTCTCACATCTTCGTAAATGTGTGCCTTTGCTAAGAGCAGCACGGTGAGGGCCCAGGGAGACTCCGGGAGTGAGTGGCAGCATTGAAGAGTGCGCTGTGTAGCTGTCAAGGCAGAAAGAAAAGTACCCTTTTCCCCCTCAAAGCTGAAATTTTTGATGCAGAGGAATACTAGGTGTTGCAAATTGTAATGTCGAGGACTCACAAACTCTTACAACAACTTGGGTTTTTAAAGGTTCAAAGCCATTTCCTGCCTTTCCTTTCCCTCCGACTGCAGATATTTGATGTGAGTGGCAGCCGTGGATTTCCCGGAGCTCCCCTACCTCAGAACTCCAGTCGGTCCAGTGAGGTAAGCAGGAGATGGCAGCCGTCTTGCTTTCAGTTAATGATGCCCGTGAGAAGGTAGGCTGGGAATGTTGGGTCAGGACTTTTGTAGGACTGTGATTGCAAACCTATTTAGACTTGAAAAGAGTCTCCATCATGAAATCAGTGACATGGCAGGACGACCCTCTTCAGTGACATGACTGAAGCGTGAGCAGCTTTCATTATACATCAGCATTTCAGCAGGACGTACTCTCTCCGGGGGTCAGTGAATCCAGATGTGGGGGTTCCTCTTGGGACTCTCAGGGGTCTTCCCAGTTAGGCCGTGCTGCCCTGGGTGTCCGCCATCTGTATTTCCAAGTGTCCCCGGCCGAGCTGGGTGGGGTCCTCCTGCAGTCTCCCTGGTTCGGGCACAGATCCCTGTGGTGCTTTTAGAGTGGGCTGAAGAGTGTTGGGGTGCGCTTTGCCTCATCTCTGTCTTTTTCAAACTTCTGTTTTCCCTCTGTAGTCGTGTTGCGCACTAGGCATCTCCCTTTACCTTCTCCACTGCATCTTTTTCATTTGTTCGCTAACAGATCTCTAAGCGATGTTTGAGGATGCCAATCTGTTTATCGTAGGCTTTTACAACTATGCCCGTGCAGAAGGCGGTAAGGTCAGAGTTAATGAACGGGGTAATTCAGTGCATTAGGAATGGGGGAGGGATGCTTGCCAGGGGCCGAGGGAGGGACTGAAGGGCACTTCGGTGATGCTGAATATGGAGCGCACAAAGCCCTTTTGCCATCCTCAGCTCCCTTGGGAGGGTGGCCTGAGCCCCTCTGCACCATCCTTGCCATTGAGCCTGCTCCTGGAGCAGCTCAGCTCAGCCTGATTCCTAAAGGGACGGCACAGCAGAAGGTTGGAAGCGCTCTGGCCAGCCTTGCTGCCCCTTGGCTCCGTGCTGTTGCTGTGTGAAGCTGCGGCTCTACCCCAGCCCCTGTTGCTACAGGTGCAGCTTGGTGCTGTGCTTCCCCGGGGGGTGGGGGGACTGACCATGGGGGAGGGGCAAGGGAGCGAAGTCTAAACCTTCCTCCTTGAGTGTGGGCCCAGTCCCACCGCCATGGACGACATTCCCCCCGCCCGTTTGTTTTTGAGCACACGTGGAACTCATCCAAAATCCAGATCAGCCTGCACCTGCGTCAGCGGGACCTGGCGTGGTATTTGCTCTTGTCAGCTATTTGCTGGTTCTTAGAGTGTACCGTCTTGTATTGCTGGTTGTCTTTTTAAAGGTAAAAAGGCCTTCAAGAAGCGCTTGGGAAACATACAGCATGGAAAAGCGTGCCTGCATCTCAGAATTTGTCCTTACCCCAAATTTGTCTTTTATTTCCAGTTTCCATGAACCTTCGGAAGCCTCCTTCTTTTGTGTCATGTGTCCCAGGAAAGCCGGTATCCCAGGGTCTGGCTTTGTATAATTTATGCCTCTCCCCTGAATTACAGCACTAAGGATGTGGCACTTAGTCTATAGATTGTTTATACTCGATAAACCTCTTGAATGATAGAGAACTGTTCTGTCATTAATGATATATATCACACTTTCAAATTCATACTTTTAAGAGATTACTTCAGCAAAGCACAATCTGTGAACAGAAGTTAGCTTTCGGAAAGAAATTTTTGCTGAACTAGCCACTGACAGTGAGAAGTAAAGTGGATGTGTACTTCACATGAAGCTCAGGTAGCCAGGTGATTGAGTTGGTTGACACTACCGGTGCTGGGAGAGGTGGAAGTGTCGTGTGTTTTGTTAGCTCGGATGTCTGGAAAGCCATCCCTGTGTGGGAGGCTGGACACGTTCCCTAGCGCTAGTTTAATGCCGCGTCTGTTAACTATAGTGCTTCAGTTCTCGGACGACTGGGCCCAGATTGATTGACTGTTAGAACTGAGGGTAAAACCTGATGTTTTGTGTTTCTGGGACTCAAAGTCAGCCTGCTACCTGGTTAAATAATGAATAATACATTTCGCTATAGTTTTCCTCTGCTGGATCATTCTCGGTGAGTATGTATGAGGTGCACAAAGCATCTGTTTTTATGCAGTAAGAACAGGATGTCTGTCAGTCCATGTAGCACAGAGATGTCATTGTGAAGGAGGGGCCGTGAGCATTTTAAAATATTCCACTCTAATTGATGCATCACATGGCGGTCCAAGCATGAGCCGCCCTAATTTGAAATCTGTTAAGGTTGGACTAAAGCCAGTCTTACTTGGGCATTTTTTTGAAGTATACTTTGGCTTGCCAAAAAATGAAAGCTTTTCATAACCTCCTGCTTGGTGAGTAATAATGGGCTTCCTGGGGCGTTTGAAGGGAGGCGTTTGTTATGGAGATTGTGACAACAAACCCCCCTAGCTGGGGCCCTGGATGGCAGCTACCTAGGAAGGTTCGGCCCAGAAATCATGGCAGACCCTGAGCCTTGGCCCTCTCCACTGGAAAACTGGCCTCAGCCGTCCCAGCTTTCCGTGGTGGGGAGCCAGCGAGGTCTTGTGGCCTCAAACCTGGGGGTGGGGAATGTCCTGTTTCTCAAGTGGAACCTATGAATGAAAACACTGTGTCTTGACCGGCCCGTTAGTGGTCTGTGCGACCGATGGTTTGTGTACATGACCCTGTATCCCAGACATATCCACACACTCGGACACGCACAGACAACGAGCGAGCAAGTTAAGCCCGTGTTCCTTTCATCAGCTGACATGAGGGCAGTAGCCCAAGAAGGAAATAAGCACTTCTCTCCCACGTGACACTGGCCCGTGAAGAAACGCGTGGTCCAGGTCTCCTTTTGTGTTTACTGCTCATCTCACTTGCTAATCGGCGTTTGCTTTATCAGGGCCTGCCTTGGTGTGGGCCCGCCCCTGACAGCCAGATTGTGATTTTGCTACTCGCTTCCCCTGCACCAGCCAAGTGGTAATTACAGGCCATTTGATCCCTAAGCATCTGCTGTGAGTTTTCAATTTTCTCTCCCAGTGAGTGGCATACCAGGCTGCTGCGATTTGGCGTGTAATTTCAGGACTATGATAATGATAATAATAATATAATGATAAATGCTTCTGCCCACGTTGCCCTAGAGGGGGAACTAAAGGGGTTTGTATATGTTGATCAGTCTGACTACTCTGCATTTCCGGTGTGCCCATTTTCTCGGGGGGCTGTGCAGGGGGTGCATCTGCTGGACTGCACGGTGAACCAGTGAGTAAGCAGGGCCAGGCTCCCATGTAGTACCCTGTGGTGGCCACCGCTGAGGGGCGGGGCTTAATTAAGCCAGTTGCAGTTTCATGGCACCATCCAGGCTGCAGAATCTGACTTGGGAATGCCACTGCCCACATTGAGCTTCTGCAGGGACACTGGGTGGCCAGTCTTTACAAGCTGGGATGTGCCCCAGCTTCTCTCTGAGTTAGTGTGTTAGTACTGTCCCACCTGCATTGCCCAGGAACTAATACCTTGACTTGCACGTTTGGGAACTGTTTTTGTTTTTTGTGTTTTTCAGTTGTGTGTGTGGGAGGAGGGGAGCTGGGGGTTGAGCAGGAGGGCATGCAGCAGTGACAAAGGTAGCCAATTGTTGAATTCCAGGTGAGTATTATAGTCACTTAGCATGGTCTCCACAAAGGTGAGCAAGAAGACCTGTCTGGATGGCTCGTGTGTGTGTGTGTGTGTGTGTGTGTGTGTGTGTGTGTGTGTGTACATGCATGGGGCTTATTGTCAAAATTTTCTGTTCCTTTCATGAGTAGGTTGTAGGATGGTGTTTTCTCAGGGCCATTGAAGCCAAAGTGAGTGTGCTGTCAGCTTGGCAGAGTGTGGATCCTGCTGCGGGAATCCGCATAGCTTGCTCTCCAGGAAGGCAAAGCTTGCAGCAGCCGAGGAGACCTCTGGCGTCAAGAAGCTTTGCAATTTCTAATTGCGATGAATTAGTTAACCAGTCAATCCTACAGTGGTTTTCTTTTTTTTTTTTTAACCCTCCAAAATGTGCTTCCTTATGTGAAAGGTGGAGCAATACAGACAAGGAAAGCGAGATCTCTCATTTGCTGGTTTATTCTCCTAATGCCCTCAGCAGCTAGGACTGTGCCAGACTGTAGCCAGGTACCTGGAATTCATGCTGGATCTCCCACAGGCAGAGCAGGCATCCCAAGTGTTTGGGCCATCATTTGCTGGGCTCCAAGGCGTGCATTAGTAGAAAACTGGAATGGAGAGTGCAGCCAGGACTCACAACTCTACACCCTAGTATGGGCATCCCAAGAGGCGGTTTACCACTGGGCCGAATGCCTGTGCCCAGCTGTGCTCTTCTTTGAATAACTAGGTTTTGCCTTTCTGGAATTACCTGCATTTGTAGCACGGACGTGCGTGTGAACGTGTGTATGCCTTGCAGAAGAAAATGATACTGAATAGTCATTGAAGAATCTTGAGAGGGTCTGGATCTTCGATGGCCTTGGCCAGCATTTTCCTTTTGTCATAAATTAGATCTTTAGAGAACAGCGGGGATTCAGGAAGTGGTTTCTCAGAGCACCTGTACACACAGAAGCTTTGTTTAATTGAGTGTAATGGCAGCATTTCATCCGCGCTTTCACTCATCCCTCCCTTGAACCGCACACCTTTCTCTTATTCAGTTTGTCATTTCTCTTCTGCAAACACCAGGGGATGTGAAGATCCTGCCTTTGTCTGCATGTATTGGGACCAGCGACTAAAGATGGACCACTTCCCTTAGTGCCTGTGCATGCCTGGGAATTGCTAGTTGTAGCTGATGCAGCCCCAGGTCTTGGGTGTGTGCTTGGGGCAGCCTAACTTTGTTAAGGTCCAAAGGGAACAGAATGAGATACTCCACGCCTCTGTTGCTGCTCATTACCCAGGGCCTGCAGCAGGGACCTAAACATGACTGTAATATGGGGAAGGTTTTACTGAGCTATGCTAGCGATTTGAAAGAGCAGATCAATGGAACTGAGTGGGATTGAGGGTGGGTGGCAGAAACCGGAGACTTCCTGTGTGTGTGTGTGTGTGTGTGTGTGTGTGTGTGTGTGTGTGTGTGTGTGTGTGTGTGTGTGTCTGTGTGTCTGTGTGTGATGGGGGGGATGCTGGGGAGGTAGTATTTGAAGGTTACACTTGTATGGGTTTCAGCACGGAGGCGGTGAGGGAGATAAAGGCACGGGAATTATAAGGCGAGTCATTTCTGGGGACTGTCAGGCGAGCTGCTCAGTTCTGCTAGAGTGGAATATGTGCAGTAGACCAACAGGGCTGAATCGGGAGCTTGCAGTCACAGCTCTTTCCTAAGGGTTTAACTCTCAGGCTGGTATTTCTGTGCTGTGTCCTGGCAATGAGGGCTGCAGCTTCTACAATACCACAGTTACTAGTGAATGTGAGCTAGGGCAACTTTCTAGAATTCTTTTCAGCTTACTTAGAGAGGAGGGTGACAGTGGTGTCACCTGGCAAGCAGTGTGTCAAGTTTACTGCGTTTGGCTGTGGGTGATGCAGTCTCGGAGTGGACAGCAGGGATGGGGCCAGGACAGCCATTGCACCTTTGTCTGTGTGGCTCCTCTGCCCCCGTCCCCTGCCCCCAGCTGCCCATCCTCTGGCTGTTGTCCAGCCCTAAGGGCGACAGATTTCCCCTTTGGTTTCTTACTCCACAGTGACCTCTACTGGAGATTTAGTTTGATTTACAACAATTGCTGTGTACTTGAGAGGTGGGGCCTGACTTTGCTTAAGGCAGCAGCGCCTTCTTGGTGATGGAACACTTGGTTGAAATCCACAGGCAGATGCAGAGGAGTCCAGGGAGGAAAGGTGGCTGAGGAGCCTGGGCGCTTGGGAGTGCGGCGGGCGGCGTGTGGCGGGCGGCGTGCAGCTGGCGGCGTGCAGCTGGCTCCTCTGGCTCTGCTTCTGCTCTCCCGGCTTTTTCTCTTTCCCTTTTTGTGCTGGCATACATTCTGACTGCGATCATCCTTCCAGGGAAATGTGCTATAAGTGACAGATCCAGAAATGTCACTCCGAAGAGATGACACAGAGAGCTTGATTCCCCCCTGCTTTACGTAAACCTGATTGAATTTATTCACTGCCTCTGTTCCATTTTGTATTCCTGTAGAGGAGGACCTTTTATGTTCTTAAAAAATGCATGGAATGCAAAGTCAAGTTCCCCAGTTAGGATGACTTTGAGGTATGATGAGTGAAATATAATTTGATAGTATTGACTCTGTGGTACATTTTTGGGTTTTTTTGGTGTGTAAGGTGTCTCTATATATGACTGCCTTTGTTCACAAAGCTCCTATGAAATGATTAGCCTAATTAGCTGTGTTATCACAATGCCCTGTCTGCTAAGCTGAGGCCTAGCAGGGTCAGTGTCTCGTGCTAGGCTACTCCGCTTACTTGGTGATGGCCTCTGTGATGTTTGGTTTCGAACGCCATAACCTTTGATTTACTACCGTGTGGATGCAAGGGCTTCTCTCGAGCAGTGCATCCCAGCTGCTTTTGAGATGTGAGAATTTTGTTGTACATTGCAGAGTGCCTGGGCCAGTTTGCCGTGAGGGTGACAGTCAGAAAGCAAACTACTTTGGGAAAAACCTCCAGAAAGTAATGTTTATAATTGATTTCCTAACTTTGATTTGCTTGGAGCAGCTGAGAGAGAAGACATTACCCCAGATCTAGAGGTTAATGTAAAAACGCAGGGCTACAAGTAGGAACAATGGAGGAGAACTGTGCTTGGAGTGGGTTTAGTGCAAGTGAGGGTTAGGGTGTGGCCATGGACCACAGTGTGTCTGGCATTGAGTGAGGAACTGGAAAGGCACGAGGCTTCCACGTAGATTTCAGATGCCCTTCTCAAGCACAGTTGTAGAACAGTGAGGCTGGGTACCCCACTGCCCTTCCAGGAGTGTGTGCTCTCACTTGGTCTCAGTGAGACATGGGATGTGCGTAGGTCCCTGGACAGGGGCCAGCTGACTTCCATCTGACTCTTGGTGTTTGTAAAGGGAGGGAAGAAACACTGGACTTATCTGCCCCAGAGGCTTATGGGAAGCCAGTGATGTGAGGAGTACAAATGAAGGGTCCCTTTTCATCCAGCTCCTTCCTTTGGATAGCAAATCCTTCTGCATTCTCATTTGCTGTTGCGATGCAGGTGGATGAACCTCTGCAGCTGTGCAGTTCATAGGTAGATGGCGCTCCCCGGGACAGCATGCAGGAGAGCCAGGCTTTTGTTCACTTTCCGGATAACGGAGGAGTCAGGGTAACAATCAATGCAGAACACAGAGTAGAAGGTATTTTGACTCTGGCAGCCAAGGTGATGGGACTGGGAACGGACTCTGCTTTTGGATGGCAAAAGGCGCTGATGTTGGCACGACAGCCACTCCCCAGGATCCCATGTGGGCACTGTGCCTTATCCCGGTAGTCCCACTTCCCATCAAGCTCCCTGGTTATGACCTGGGAAAGCAGTCAAGGACGGCTAAAGCCTTGGGATCCTGCACCCGTGTGGGTGACCTAGAAGAAGCTCCTGGCTCCTGGCTTTGCATCAGCACCGGCTATTGTGACCGCTTGGGGAGTGAACCATTGGACGGAAGATCTTCTTCTCTTTCCTCCTGTCTGTATATCTGACTTTCCAATGAAAAGAAATAAAATTCGCGGAAAAAAAGACCTCACTTTCTAGATGAGGAAACGTATCGGTGTACCAGTATCGGCATTTTACTTGTTTACATTCTGCTGCTGGATTTCTTTGGGAGAATGAGTTGTTAGATCATGATGTCATGCCCTCATGAATAACTTAAACTTTTCTGAATTTCTGTATGTACTTTTTTTTTTTTAATTACAAAGTCAGATATACAGAGAGGAGGAGAGACAGAGAGGAAGATCTTCCGTGCAATGATTCACGCCCCAAGTGAGCGCAACGGCCGATGCTATGCCGATCCGAAGCCAGGATCCAGGAACTTCTTCCAGGTATCCCACGCGGGTGCAGGGTCCCAAGGCTTTGGGCCATCCTGGACTGCTTTCCCAGGCCATAAGCAGGGAGCTGGATGGGAATTGGAGCCACCAGGATTAGAACCAGCGTGTTCACGGCGAGGACTTTAGCTGCTAGGCCACACTGCTGGACCCTCTTTATGTACTTTTAAGTCTGGAATAATTATGCAGTCTGCTGTTGGTGCTCTGCCAGAGGACGGCATTAAAGCTGTAGTCATTTGATTCCATCCTACAGAGCTTTCCCTGCTTCCCTGGAGTAGGCAGTAGGTTGATCCCATCTGCAGTTGCTTCCTGGAAATTGACATGAAATGTATTGTGAGGGGCCTTCAAAAAGTTCATGGAACTTGTATGTTATGAAAAAAACACTGCATGAATTTTAAAATTATTTTGCACCAAAACAAACTCATCCTTAAAAAAAAAGGATTCATTTTATTTATTTGAAAGCAAAAGTTGCAGAGAAAGGGGGAGAGTCAGAGAAAGAGAACTTTTATCTCTTGGTTCACTCCCAAGTTGGCCGCAACAGCCAGGGCTGGACCAGACTGAAACCAGGAGCCAGGAAAGTTGTCTAGATCTCCCCTGTGGGGACACAGGCCCAAGGACTTGGATTTTCTTTTGCTTCTTTCCCCAGACCATTAGCAGGGAACTGGGTCAGAAGTGGGACAGGACTCAACCCCATGCCCAGGTGGAATACCTGTGTTGCAGGCAGCAGCTTTGTCTGCTGTGTCCCTGAGCTCACCTTTCAATCCAGTATTCTCTGAACTCTGTGCAGTCCTCTTGTCATCCGTTACACTGAACATGTAATTGCAGTTACATAATCGAGCGAGTTGGCAGAGTGCAATGTCTTCTGGACCACCAGGTGGCATCAGAGAGCTTATATGTATCAAATATGGGAAAGGGTGAAAAAACGATGGTACCTCTGCCGGCGCAGCCCTGGCAGATGTGGGTACTGATTGTTTATTCTGTCACTCGTGCTGCGGCGTTAGGGTGCTGTACGGGCAGCGTGGGTCCTTCCTTGCCGTTGTCCAGGATATGAGGTGTTCCTTCAGAAGAGCGGCAATGTTAGTTTCCATCGATAATGTCAGTTTAAAAATAGATAGGCGTCGGGGCCCGGCGCGGTGGCGCAAGTGGTTAAAGGTCCTCGCCTTGCACGCCCGGGATCCCATATGGGCGCCGGTTCTAATCCCGGCAGCCCTGCTTCCCTTCCAGCTCCCTGCCTGTGGCCTGGGAAAGCAGTTGAGGACGGCCCAAAGCTTTGGGAACCTGCACCCGCGTGGGAGACCCGGAAGAGGCTCCTGGCTTCGGATCGGCATAGTATCGGCCGTTGCGCTCACTTGGGGAGTGAATCATCGGATGGAAGATCTTCCTCTCTGTCTCTCCTCTCTGTATATCCGCCTTTCCAATGAAAAAATAATAAAAATAAATCTTTAAAAAAAAAAAAAATAGATAGGCGTCCTAAGTGATAGCAAGCTTCTGTCAGAGAGGGAAGAGAAGGCAGGAGGGTGCATTTTACCTTTTGTAAAGTTTGTGGATTAACAGATTGCTAATTGTGAAGTGTGAGGAATCGACGCTTTCTCTTGGGAAGCAGCTCCAAGTTTGGTACAATCTATTGATAGATTGCACGCGCTGAGACGATAAGGCAGTTGGACTCTCAGGGATCCTCCACTGTAACTGCGTCTTGCCTTTCTGGAGGAAACACCGTTTAAAGAAAACCTCCGAAACAATTGCCTGGGTTTTCTTTTCTGCTCATTTAAGTCTGAGAGCTAGGGTTGAAATGGTGGATTACACGCAGGCCTCTTTGGAAATGTCGACTTTGACTTACAACGAACCGTTTTGTTTTGTTTTCTAGCTGAGGCACTGGGACCCCAGCCACTATGGCCTTCAGCTTCGAAAATCAGTAGATGGAAACATTGAGTGCTGTGTTCCTGCACCAGATGAATATATGCAAAAGCAGGTACGTTTGCATTTGTTTAAGAAAGGGAAGCATGGTCCCGGCGCGATAGTGTAGTGGTTAAGGTCCTCGCCTTGCACGCCTGGGATCCCATATGGGCGCTGGTTCTAATCCCAGCAGCCCTGCTTCCCATCCAGCACCCTGCTTTGTGGCCTGGGAAAGCAGTCAAGGATGGCCAAAAGCCTTGAGACCCTGTACTTTTGTGGGAGATCCGAAAGAAGCTCCTGGCTCCTGGCTTCGCATTGACTCAGCTCCAGCCATTGTGGCCGCTTGGAGAGTGAATCATTGGATGAAAGATCTTCTCTGTCTCTCTTCCTCTCTGTATATCCGACTTTCCGATATAAATAAATAAATCTTTAACAAAAGAAAGGAAAGCATGAGCCATATCTGTGTCCCTTGGAGTTTAGAAAATGTAAGTTTAGGAGAAAACTGTTAAATTTGGCATCTCATTAGGAGACATGTTCACGTCAAAAATGTATTTAAGAAAACAGCCATTTTCTTATGAAAAATGATGTACATGACCTTCAGATGCATCCTGAGGAAGGCCCTGATTTTGGCATGCTTGCCTTTTCCAGGTTTACGATGAAGTAGAAGTCTTTCCTCTAAACGTTTATGATGTGCGGCTCACAAAGACTGGGAGTGTGTCTGACTTCGGTAAGTGTTGGGGACCCGGTCAGAAGGCCGTACGGTGCACCCAGGCCAGCTTGCCCCTGTGTCTCGGGCCTCGCTGTTTCTCTTTATATTCACATTTTCCAGAATATGCTTGGAAGACAGACATCTCCGAATTTCTGTTCTCTCCCTTTGTTTTTATTTAATTTATACGAGCAGGCTAAGACAGACGTGTCTTGGGGACAAGTGCCGGAGTAGTGACTGGTGGTAGAGGTGATGGAAGGGGCGGTCCCGGTCCGACAGGGAGGAGCTGCGCAGCTGGGTGACAGCTCCTTGCTTCTCCGGCTGCTTCACTGTAGCCTTGCTTTACGCACCTGCCCTCCAGCCTCTCCCCTTCTCCTCCTCCTCACAGTGTTACTGCTTCTTACCCATCAAGGACTAACTCAAAGTCTGACTTTTCATATATTTTTGGGATTGCTTTATCTTCACCTGCCTCTTTATTTCCTGAGTTTATCAGTTAAGGCTGAGCACTTCTGAAATCCCTTTATATAGCATTTAATGTTTAATGTATTTATCTGAAGGACAGAGTAACAGAGAAAGAGAGAAGGTGAGGGAGGGGAAGAGAAAGAGACAGATACGCTGAGACTGTGGGTTCACTCCTCAAGACCAGGGTCTGGGCCAGGCCAAACCAAGTGCCCGAGCTGCTTCTGGGTCTCCCGCATGGGGGCAGAAGTGCACCTGGGCTGCCCTCCACTGCTTTCCCAGGCACGTTAGCAGGGTGCGAAGTGGAGCAGCTGTGACACTGTCACCTGTATGAGATGCTGGCACTGCAGGTAGCAGCTTTACCCACTGCTCTGCGACACCGTCCTCTGATTCTTGTGTTTCGGTTGTAAACTCGGCTGTGAGCGTTTTGTAGTTTGTTTTCTTTTGTCTTTTACTGTAGGAATTCAGGAATCAGATAGTATCTCTGTAGACAGTTATTTTCTTAACCTTGTTACTATATTAACAGAATAGTGATTCATTCTTAAAATGACTCGTCATAATATGCTATGGTTTGTGACGTGTTAAAGCTATATAAAGCGTTCTTCCTTCCGATTTGTTCTGTTTCCTTATTTACACGAGCGTTCAGCTTCCATGTGTTGGGTTTGCTTCTGATCTGCTTCTCCTGTTCTCCAGTCTTCTGTGTGTCCTCTCTGTATTGGAATGACTGAACAAAGACACTTATAAAGATGCCTTAAAAAAAATATGTTCATGGGCCCGGTGCTGTGGCTTAAAAGGCTGATCCTCCTCCTCCCACTAGTGCTGGCATTCCATAAGGGCACCAGTGTGTGCCCTTGCTATTCTACTTCCCATCCAGCTCCCTGCTTGTGGCTTGGGAAAGCAGTTGAGGACGGCCCAAAGCCTTGGGACCCTACACCTGCATGGGAGACCCGGAAGAGGCTCTGGGCCCCTGGCTTTGGATTGGTGCAGCACCGGCAATTGTGGCTGCTTGGGGATTGCAACAGTGAAGGGAAGATCTTCCTCTCTGTCTCTCCTCCTCTCTGTATATCTGACTTTGCAATAAGAAAAAATAAATCTTTAACAAAAATTTTAAAGGGGGGTTGTGGTAAAATATGTATAACACACTTGACCACTTTGAAGTCACAGCTTTGTGGCATTGTCGACAATCAGCACCATCCTTCCAGGGCCTCTGTTTCATGTTGCACAACTGGAACTCTATACCCATTAAACTTGAACTCTCCAGGCCCAGTGCGGTAGCCACATGCAGCAGGATCCCATATGGGTGCCAGATCGTATCCCAGCAGCTCTGCTTCCCAACCAGCTCCCTGCTTGTGACCTGGGAAAGCAGTCAAGGACGGTCCAAGGCCTTGGGACCCTGCACCTACATGGGAGACCTGGAAGAAGCTCCTGGCTCCTGGCTTCGCATCAGCTCAGTTCTAGCCATTGTGGCCACTTGGGGAGTAAACCACTGGACTTTCTGTTTTTCTGTCCTCTCTGAAAATCTTTCTTTCCAACAAAAATAAATCTTTAAAAAAATGTTTGAGTTCTCCATATTCATTTTTTGGGTAAGATTTTGCTTATTTTGAACGATTACAAAGTGGAAGACGGAAAGAGCTATTCCATCTGCAGGTTTGCTCACAAATGGCCACAGTGACCATGGATGGGCCAGGCTGTGAGCAGGAGCTAAAAGCTTCCTTCAGGTCTCCCTCATAGCTGCAGGGGCCCAAGCACCTGGGCCGTCTCCTGCTTTCCCGGAAAGTGTAGCAGGGAGATGGAGTGGAAATAGGACAGCAAGGATTGGAATCAGTGTCTGTATGCTGTGCCGACATTGCAAGTAGAATCTTGGAGCCCGCCCCTCTCCCCGCCCCTCTCCCCCATGCCCGTGCAGCTCCCAGCAAGCACCCTTCTGCTCTCTCTGAATTTGACTGCGCTAGGTACTTTGTGTAAACAGGATCATATTCACGCTGTGTGGTTGTGATTGCCTTGTTTTACTTAGCACAGTGTCCTCCGAGCGCACCCATGCCGTTGCACTCGCTGCATGAGTAAACTGCACTTGTGGGTTCGCCTGTGGATGGCTGTGGGGTTGTTTGCACCTCGTGGCTGTTTTGAGTAATGCTGCCATCAGCATGGGGCGTGTGTTGTCGGCTTTTGACTCAGGTCGTGCCCTCATCTTTCCTAAGCCTCCCCAGCAGACACGTTCCTTTTTTCTGGTGCCTGTGCTAGATAATTGTGCTTTCAAAGGAGCAGTTGTCTTTCTCAGCGTAGCCCTTTGAGGAGAATTGCTGTTCAAGGAATCCCCATGGGTTGGGTGGAAAGCCGGGTGCGTGGTAAAGGTGGACTCAGTTCGCTTGGATTTTTCCCACCAGGGTTTGCAGTTACGGCGCAGGTGGACGAGCGGCAGCACATCAGCCGGATATTTGTGAGCGACGTCCTCCCCAACGGCCTGGCTTGCGGGGAAGGTGTGTGGGACCCAGCATCTTGGTTCTGTCTTAGCTTGAAGCAAGGGGAGGCAGTCTGACTAATGAAATGCTCTTCCAATTTTGTCAGAATCTTAGAGGAAATGAAGATGCATTTGTGGCAGGTGGGGGTGCGTATGTGTTTTAAGAGAGAGGGAACTTGTCCGGGCACCAGGAGAATAAATCCATGTTGGTCTGGCCAGGGGGAGGGGGCAAGAGACTGGTAGAGACTCATACTCACAGAGCAGATGGCGCTGCCCACCGTGTCTGCCAGCTCAGCGAGTGAGTTACGAGTGGCAGAACAGCTCCTCTGTGTGCGTGGTTACGTTGGCTGCTTCTTTCACCCGGTCACATTTTCCTGTCTCCTTACTTCCTCTTCATGCTTCCTCGTTCTCAGGGCTGAGGAAGGGCAATGAAATCGTGGCCCTGAATGGGGAAGCCGTGTGTGACCTGCACCTGAAGCAGATGGAGGCCCTGTTCACCGAGAAGAGCGTTGGGCTCACACTCGTTGCCCGGCCTCCCCACGTGAGAGCCACGCTGGGCACCTCCTGGTCGGACAGTGACCTGTTCTCCAGGGACCAGGAAGGGCTCTCACCCCCTCCCAACCAGTCCCAGCTTTTGGAGGAATTCCTGGACAACATGAAAAAGAATATAACCAATGGTAAGACTTTGTCCCTGCTTCCTACTTGGCTGCTGCCATCCACGGCCAGTGTTTGTAGGTTGCTGTTTTGCTTGTAAACTTGGATTATTTAAGCCATTCAGAGACTGTTGCTTCATGTCTTAGGAGATGAACGCAGACGCCAGCTGGAGTAAATTTTATCAAAACTCCTTGCATTTTACTCATTATGGCACTTTCCATGAAAATGGAAAATAATTATTTTTGTACCAAGTAACACTCTTTAAATGACACCCTTAAGAATCACTCACAGCACTTAATCTTGTAATTACTCTGTGACTGAAGGCGGCTGAAACCTGTGTACATGCCAGCATTGGAAGTTTGTTACTCGTTTGACTCCAAGGCAAAACCAGCTTCTGGTATCTGGTATGTTTGAGTATGGCTGGTGCAGTTCGGTTTTTGTTTTACCTCTCCCGTTGTGTATGACCATATCAATAAGCAGCCAGGAAGTGCAGGTTATGAATTTTAAAATTTTGTGAGAGCCTAATAATTTTTTTAAATGCCCCGTTGTATTTTTCCTTAAGGTAAAATTCCTGCATGCAGAAATCGTTGGCGAATTGGGTGAGCTTGTTCATGCATATTTCATAGGCTGCAGTGAGGTGGATGGGAGTCCCCAGCTAGCACTGAATAGCCACTGTTTCCTTCCGAACACCCCGAGGATGATGGTCCAGCTCTGTAGGAGCCCAAGCCAAGCAGTTTTATCCTGGGAGTGTGCAAAATAGTTTTTCTATTTAATTACCATCATAATGGATTTCCAGTGGAAATCTCTGCATGGGCACCAAAAAGGAATGAAAAACATAAAAGAGAAGTCTGCTAGGATGGATTTAATTATAAAACAAATTTATTAGGTCATTTTGGGGATTATAAAGTTAGCCAGTTAAATTTGTGATTCATTAAGGTATCCTGGGCTGTCTCCACGTCTCTGGGAGCCTTCTTCCAATTTAAAATACTGTTAGACAGACTGGTGGCAGATATGAGCACAACTCATACACTGAAGTTGCGACTTGATTCTCTTAGGACCATCCTTCATCGGTGCTGGGCTGCTGTTAGGGGAGAGGGTGTCAGTTCTCTTGGCTTCCTTACTCTGCAGGGATACTTCCTACCTGGGATGCACCTGGATGAATTGCATCAGCATGAGAAATCACTTCAGGATTTAGGGTATAGTAAGGACCAGCGGGTGAGTTAAGCTTGTTACTCCATCTTTTTTTTGTTTTTTTGACAAGGAGACAGGGTGATGAGATGGTCCTTACCCTTGGTAGGATCAGGTTCCCATGATCTGAACGCAGCAGCTTGCTGTTCTGATGTATCCCCACATCTGCACGTCCCGAGAGCTGAGCTCACAGGCATTGGTGATGGGCATCCGCTGCTGGGCTTTCCCCCGACACCTGCCTAGGCCGTGGCTCCTGTGTGTGGACAGGGTTACTATCACTGAGGTACAGGCCACTGGCTCTGTCCTGGCTGCGTGGCAAGACTGCCCTGTGAGGGTGGCGTTACCCTAGATGGCACCACCTGGATTAGTTAACCTGGATTAGTTAACCTTTGTTGCTATCACAGAATACCCACAGGCAGCCTACTTTGTTTTAACGGAAGGTGTTTAATTTAGTTGACAGTTTTGCAGGCTCACAGTTCAAGGTCAGACATGCCTCTGGTGCTGGTGATGGGGTCACAGGACTGGTTGCCCTAAGGTAGAGGACTCTGCCTTGGCCGTTGTCTCTGGAGGATGAGCTGGAGCCGAGCACATGCCTTCCAAGCATGCTCAGGACACAGCCCTCCCTGCCCTGTTGCTGGATCACACAGGCGCAGAGACCTCCCCGCACTCACCAGCATGGCCCTCGGAGCAGCACAGCAGACCTGGGGATGGGTGCCTGATGGGTCTCCTGCTCTGTGGATGGCCACTTCATTGTTGCCTTCAAGGGTTTCAGTTTCTGTTCTGGGAAGTGGGGGAGGCAGGTGCAAGGCCCATCCATGACGTGAGTGGAAGGATCATCTGTAAGGACTCTTTATGCATTGCCGCTGAAATTCCCTAAAGAAAGCAATGTTATTTCAGTGCCCGCAGGGCTACTATTGAAGGGATTGGATGTCCCAGACCTGTTTATACCGGGATCCAAGCAATGCTGGGGGTTATGGTACCTTATGTATGAAAATCCCTTTAAAGTTTGCCATCTTTTTTGAAAATTTCCAACAGTTTCTCTCTCTCTCTGTGTGTGTGTGTGTGTGTGTGTGTGTGTGTGTGTGTGTGTGTGTGTGTGTGTAAGTCTTCCAAACAGTCTCTATGAAAACACAGGAGCTGTTTGGCCTTCATGCACGCTCCATCCACAAACAACATTTCATGCCACCTTGCTGGGATTGGGTTAGGCCTATATTTAACAGGAGGCAAAATAGGAAAGATCTGTGTTTCTGCTCTCATTTACACCATCCATCCCAGCAATGCCTATCAGATGACGACCAAGGGACAGTGCCCGAGGCTCTTTATTTTGGCCCTCTACTTTCCTTAGAGTCGCAAGCTTCTAGAAGCCACTTTATTGTAGAACTGTGCTTTGGAATGAACCACTCTTGGGAATGTATGTGTCCATTAGTCAGCTTTCCACCAGGGGAAAGAATGAGCACGCCAGCTCTGATGTGGGGACCCTACTGATTTCCTGTGTAGGAAAGGTGGCACGTTTTGGCTCCTAGCCCGACGTAGGATGGCTGAGAGCGCTGAGCCTGGAGGATGCTTTGTCTGTGGCTAGCACCCCAGATAGCCAGATGTAAAAATGTATTAGTACTCCTAAAAATAGGTAGTGTACAACATTAAAAAAAAGTTAGATTGGGAAATACTTTTTGTTTGTTTGTTTTTGTTTTGAACCACAACACAGAGTTTTAGCTGTGGAATTATTACCTTACGACTGTGCTGAAGGTATTTTCAGCTTGGGGCATGTGCCTTTTGCTAGCAGTGCGGGGAGAAAGGGCTGTGGGTGCTCTCTTAAGAACTTGGGTTTTGTTTGGAAACTTAATTCCCTCTCTCTCCCACATTAGTGATTTTTTTTAACCATCAATATATTTTTATATCATTTTGTGTTCCTAAGAAACTGTAGTTGGTTGGGAAACATTATAATAATCCTAAATAAGATCAGTTGGGATTTGCATTAATTTTTCTGTTTGTGAGCAGAACGGAGTCCATATTGGAAGCCAAGAAGTGCAGGTATAAGAGCAGAGGAAGGGTTCTGCCTGGCTCAGTGTGTGGATTCCACGACAGCCCTGCTTATGAACCTGGGGCTGGGAAGAGGGAGACGGAAGGGCAGGGAGCAGACAACCGGGAAGCTGAGGTTACGGGAAAGAGAGTCTTCTTGGGACCTGATTGCAGAAAACCGAAATTCCAGGAATCGGTTACATGGCATGGGCCAAACCTCTGAGAAACGGAAGTCTAACCACTATTGCATGGCTTTCTCCCGCCTTCAGTACAACACAGGAGACTTGTCTGATCCCTTAGTGACAGTTGTGGTGTGGTGTGAAGAACTAGGTCTGCCTCCGTATTATCTTCCCACTTTAGCTTCACCCGCTTTGGTCTTGAGCTGCATCGTCATCTCTGTCCTCAGAGGACTGGCTTCATACAAGGCATGTGCTCAGATCTGCCGCATACTCAAGTTGCCTGGATACCATGGTGGAGTGCGAGGGAACTTCCGAAAGTTCACAGGAAAGAGAAATTAAAATACTTGTTTGTCCATGAAATGAGGCATAAGCTTTCTTTACTTTTTTTAAAAACACAAAGTTTATTTGAAAGACGGAGTTAAAGGAGAAAAGAAAGGAGAGGGAGGGAGAACTCTACCATCTGTTAATTTAGTCTCCAAACGATTGCCAAGACCAGGGCTGGCCGGTCCAGCACCAGGACAGCCAGGACCAGAGCTGGCCAGGCCAGCACCAGGAGCCTGGGAGTCCACCTGGGTCTCCACCGTGGGTGGCAGAGGCCCAAGTTCTTGGGCCATCTTGCTCTGCCTTTCCCTGGGCATCTTAAAAGGGAGAGTTAATTGGAAATGGAGCAGTCCTCTGTTAGGGGATGCCGGGATCAGATGCCTCACTCCATCTGCTACACAAGAATTTTGAAATCCTGGCACATGGCGGGTCTTCAGAAAGTTCATGAGAAGTTCTTCCTATGAAAAATCTATGCATGGATTTCAGAATCATTTTGTAACAAAATAAAGTTAGTTTCATTATTTAGGAGCTGTTAGCAGTTGCCTATTTTATTTATTCAGCAGTAGTGAGATGGAAAACAGATGGGCCAGGGTGGGAGGGATCAGGAGCAGGGCCTGGGACAGGCTACAGTAATAAACAGGCAGCACCTGGTGATGTCCGTGCAAGGGACATGCTAAGGAGGACGCCCCAGGAGGTGTGGAGCCATGTGGATGTCTGGAAGCAATCATGAGTCCTTAACAGTTCATGGAAATCACGGATGTAGGGCTTGCCGGGAGGCACAGGAAGTGCAGGGCTCTGTAGGCCAGCTAGGGAGGAGGCCCGGGGAATTGTAGGGTCAGGTGGACTCAGCCCTCAAGGACTATCTTGAGGTGTAACACTGACATGAGGCAAACAAGAGACCCTCCCAGGCATTTAAGCCAGGAAGCCAGCAGGGCTGAGGTTAGCCCGAGATCCCTAAATGCTGACAGAGCACAGCTGGAGGAGGCGCTAGTGGAGCAGGGCCTTCTGTTGTCTACCTGGCATTGGTTGCTGCTGTGGAAGTGGATCCCTCAGAGCTTGCCCTGAGCCTGCTCTGGGATGGAGGGAAGGAGTGAGGTTTCGGCCTGAGCAGCTCAGATGGGGGGACCGCAGGTGTGCAGCATCTGTGAGGTCCATCTGGGGATGCCCTAGCACAAGCCCTGTCACACCTGCTCCTGAGACTGGTTTGAAATGCCTTTTAGCAAAAGCCATCTGTGCAACCCTACAAAATTCATCAAAACCAGCAGCATGCAGAGAGATAGGGGAGACTTGAATGGCCATTTGCTGACTTAAAAGAA